CATCTTGGTCTTGAAATGTTCATGGAGGTCTAGGGAAGGTTTAAAAGGTTTAAAAGACAATCCACCAATCCAATCCAATCCAATCCAATCTGTAGTCGTGAAGGTAAGAGGACAAAATATTTAGAGGCCAGCACGAAGTCTGTCGAGTCAACTAGTTTTTCAACTAATTTTTCTTCCTAATTTCAATAATATAAAGATTGCCTATATTCACGTTTAAATTTTGGATGAAATTTCTTAAATAAAGTCTGCATAGCTATGGATTGATTCCGCTAATACTTATTTATTAGCAAATTTATGTTAAATGGATGTCAATTTTCATATGTATAAATCAATTTTAAAAAATGGCCGATAAAAATAAATTTAATAAGTACTTAACACTCATAAAAAGTCACATCCTTACCGTTATAAATTTGCAAATAAATGAATGAATGAATCTGCATAGCCGTGGATCCCGTTAATATTCATTTATTTGCAAATATATATGACATGGGGGATTTTTTATTTGTATTAAGTACTTATAAAATTAATTTTTATAGATCATGTTCGAAAAGTAATTATAATATAATTTAATAATTTAATATAATAATTTAATAAATAAATTTATATTACATTTTATTTAAGTTTCAGTAATTTCACTCAAAATTTAAACGTGAATATTAAAAAAAACAGCTAAATATATATAGGCAAACATTATATTCTTGAAATTAGGAGGAAAAATTTTTATCAAATAAATTAAAATATACTTGGTGCTATATTTAAAACTATGCAAGTTATGTCAAATTTGATAGATTTGCAACTAATTCTTTTCTATTTTATAATTACCAAACGATAATATATAAAAAAAGTCTACATCATTTGGATTTAAGTCTCTTTCTAATTCTTCAAGATTAGGCTGTAGGGATTGTGCAAAATATAAACCCTATAACTCACCTAATTAATGTCTAAAATTTTATTGGAAGTCGCCAATTTGTTCCTTTAGTTTAAGTTTAATTATTTTGTATTCTGTTATTATGTTCCGTCTATTACATCAAAATAACGGTGTGTTTCTTAAACAATCTAAAATATTAAAAATTAATATTAGCAGATACTAACAACCATATATGGTCGAAAACGGCTCAACAAGGGCATTATTTTAAGACCCTTCCACGAGTTACATAGAATAAGACAGTTCAGTTGTGGAGAAACGGAGAACTTTGAAAAAAATCTGAGCGCGCCGCTGCATTTTACTCAAGAAAGTACTCATCAACAGCAGCCGAATAGAAATTTTCGTTAATAAAAAAGTTACCAGAAATTTAGTAACAATTTCGGTTCTCTCTTCAGTACCGTTTATAAGTCGAAAACGAAAAATGACATCGATGTTGGGATTTCACTGAACTTCGTCAATTTCTATAAAGTTTTTTTTTTACAATTGTCAAAATTATCGCCTTGACATGATCATAATTAAATTTAAAAATTTAAGAAGGATTTTAAATCGGGATTTAGTTTTGTCCGTTGCCCGCCACTGTCGTTACACGATCTTCGCTCCATCCCACAAAAGTTTAATGGCGATGGAGTCAGCAGTATTCGCGGAGTATCGTCGACTTCACTACACTTTCAAGCAGCCGACTTTTTTGCAACGCAATACGAAAGTAAAGCAGAATAACGCAAAATGTTAACTATATTCACCCCAACAAAAATGTAGTACGTATCGCGGCAGAAAGAATTTATACGGGGTGTGATTGAAATCACGCAATATAGTCTATTGGGTTTTTCTGGTTCCGACTCAGATGTCGGATTCATATTTTGTTCGGTTCAATTCGGATTAGAAAACGGCCCTTCCGGTTTCCACTAGTCCATTGTCCCTCAACCCCAAACCCGTGACTTATGTACCGAAAACGCTCAAAGTAATTGAGTGTTTTAGATTAGGGTGTAAAAAATATATTTAGTCCATTACTTTATCCAACACATGCTTATCACCAACACCTATTAGCTAATAAAAAGCTGTATCTGTAGCTTTTTCCAGTTTCCTATTAACCAAAATCAGGTAGTTTTGCAGAAATCTGAAAAATACGTCCATCAAAAAATGCTCGTCCAAGATGTCAATCTTATTATTATTTTTCTACTGTATTTCAGTACAGGAATATGTAATACATTCCGATTTGACTAACAATGCCCGTTTGAAAAATTTGGACTTATGAAAAGTGATAAGATAGCTCCTTCAAATTTTATTTATTTGTAAGCCATATTTATCAACAGTATGGAAATAATTATTTAAAAATTTTAATAATTTAAATTTTTGAGAATTTTTAGCAGTCAAGTTTATTGTATTTTGCAGAATTTTTGCCTAAATTTAAAATTACAGCTTTCTACGAGTTCAAACATGATGGTAATAAATATTTATGTTATACAAAAGTAACCAGAAAGCGATGGCGGGCAGGCAAGGGTGTGCCATTCAAAATATCAATTTCAAGATCAGAGTCGCTTATGTCTTCTTCCTTTTCTTCTTCTGGAGGACCGATGGTTACTGCTAATTTTTCATAAAGTAACCTGCCAACTTTCAGTATTCTATTAAATCATACACTTCATTAAATGACGTGAAAAACGAAATAACAAAACGAGACGATTGCATGGAATAAGGAATTTCATGATCCGGTGCCCTCGTCAACTAACGATGAAAGATCTGAAAGGTGCTTGAACCGAATACGGCTGAAGCAAAACAGACTAACAGATTCTCGAGCTTTAAAGCAGACACTTTCAGATGAAGGAAACATGTGCGGGCGACGGACATTATAGGCACCATATGGCATGCGCCTTTTGAAAGACCCTGATTCGATTATTCGTTCATTTGGTGGACGTACTGCACTAAAACTGATTTCTTATATGGAAAAACCGAATGCAGGTTTACAGGGATTCATAGTGCTTTACGTAACAAGTTCCGAAAAAGCTATTTTACTGGATTACTAGGGAAATTTTTGCGATGCCTGCAAGTCCAGTAAAAAAAGTAAAAAAAAAATGACGGCGAGTCCATTTATATACTTTTTTTTAAATCGGCTTAGTCTTCTACTATTGACAATTTTTCATCAAACTTAAGCTTTAAAGTTTCAATTAATTTATTTCCTTACCATGGAAGCCACCAACTCACACTATCCCGGGTAGCAGAGAATCATAAAAAGAATTAATTAACTAATGTCTCAGACGAATGAAATGACATCTTTTTTAAGTCAATTGTCATTTAAGTGAAATCTTTTTTACTTCAACTTAAAGTCAATTTTTGGTCTTTACAGCTGAAAAATATGACGATTTTGCAATTGCTTTTTTCTTTTTGCAGCGGGGAAAATCGAAAGTAAATCACACAGAAACTGCCGCTTTAAATTACATAGTATATCTTTTTTGCGGTTACGGAAAATGCAGAATTATATGTAACGAATAAAGATGAGCCTTTCTTTTAAAAAGAGTAAAAACAGAAATGCAGGGTCTTTCGTTTGATTTTCTCACGAAAATTAATATTTTTGATTTTGACTCACCCTGTATAAACGGTTCGAACTAACATCAAGATAAGAATAGGATAAATGACTGTACCACTTTAAAAGAATTGTTGGCATAATAAAACAGCTGTCCGAAACAGTGTCAAAAATAAAGGGAATTAAACACAGAGCATTTTTGACTAAAAAACGGCCATAAATCTGAAGACACTGAGTATAACAACCTTATTTGGGTTATTGAGTATAAAAAGGAAGTTCAGAAATATAAATTTAATTTCCCACATATTTATGATTCACCCTGTATATTTAAAAATAATTTTAAATTGTTTCTTTTAGTCTCGTATATAACATTTTTCTCTAAAACTAAAAATAAATTAAATATACTTTTACAAACTATTTGGACACCCTTTAGATATATTCTCCTACCTCATGGTTTTCAATACAATAATTTGATAATAGTTTAAATTAATTATTAAGGTTAAAGTCCATATCTGGAATTAATCAAGTCATTTTATGATGACATTCAGAGTTCATTTTCGTGATGTTAATAATTTGAGGTGTTTTTCGGAGCACTTATGATTCGAAAATGACGTCACTTCGCTCTGCTACCTGGGATAATATTTTAGGCAACAAGTAGGCCGCATTTGAGCCACGAGTTTATTTGGCACGAGCGGAACGAGTGTTTAATAAACGAGAAAGAACTATATATACTGAATATTTCCCCAGTATACTATTAGCTAAACTATAAACTATTTGGACAACTTAAGACTACCAAATTCTAGTTTTGAAGGCATTTTTTTAAACCTTGGAAGAACAGAAAAAATACTGGAAAAAGAAAGGAAAAAACATTAATAATTCTGGATTTGGTCCCTAGTAAATAGATAATAATTCCTTGATTACATTACTAATTTCCCCCGTAAATACACAGATACAAAAAACTAAAAAAGAATCATAATGGATAAATGGATCGAATTAATAAATTTGAATTTATTAGTTGTTCACCAAATCTATTATACCATGGATTTCATATCTAGTTAATTCAGTTTTAATAAATGTTTTTAATCTGATTTTAAATAATGAAAGTGTGCTAGTCTATTTCTGTCCTATCGTTTTAGATACCTTAGGTTTGACACTGGCTTGGTTCATTCTGTTTCTGATTTAAAAAAAAAGATCAATATTAATTTCTTTAAAAGCCGGTCACAAGGTAGATTTTAGCGTGACGACAAACATATCCATAGCTGGAAGAATTTTATACGTCTTTAAATTATATTTTTGATTCATTTGACTAGAATTGGAAACAATGAACACGAGTAGAACAGTGTCCACTCGCACGGGTTTCTAGTATTAATGCCCATGCTACTATTTTTTTTAATATGCAGTACGGTTTATACACTATTTTATTGTTGTTTATTATGTTTATTGTATTGTTATTTTAAGTATAGAGAATTGATAGATACTAAACATCAACAATTTAAATGATTTAGCTGCGCATCTTTCTTCGTTTTATTTCCATCGCCTAATTCGTTATGTAATTTTCAGGCCCGTACTATTTTCACGATTCGGCGAGTCAGAGGGCACCGGAGTTCACGTATCCGGCCAAGCTCAAGGTCAAAGAGGCGCCTTTTCCTCAAGTTCATCGTCGATCGACGATAAGGGGAAAATCAAGTACTCCGTTCAATCGGGCAAATATTAATTTTTTTGATTCCAATTATTTTTTACTAAAAAATGTGATACGAGTAAGATAAATGTAATATAGTTTATTTGGACAACATCGAGCCTTATTCAGTTACCCCCACTCCATTCAAACGATCAAATTTTTTAAAACATCTACCAAGTGAAACAAGATTGCTTTCGAAAAATCGTCGCTGGGCGGGGCAAGTTCGGGGCGAATAGGGCGGAGTAGCTTTTTATTTAAAACAGAAGCCGCTTCGCGGTTTCTTGTCAAAGAGGAACGCATTGTTTTTCTATCATGCTCCGGCGGACCACTATGGAACTTTCGCAAAATCGATGTAATTTAATTCTGCATGCACCCTGTATAAAGTGCCCTTTATATCTCGTCGAACTTCAGCAAACATCGGTAAATATTAAAATTTGCACAAACAATATGCGTTGTCGAATGATATTTTTTCAAATATCTCGCGCCCTGTATAATTGACGAAACCCGAAACTCTCTCTCGATACAGTTTACAATAGGTACTGTTCAAATAAAATAACGGTTTTTCATTTATCGCCAATAATTTATCCACAAAAACGAAAATTTTTAGGTTCTTTTAGATTTTTTGCCCATAAACGACACACCCTGTATACGATTCAAACAATGTTCGAAGTAGAGGATAGAGTCCTGGATCTTGCACGTTTCCTGGTTCAAGAATTTTTTGAAAATAATAAATGGTTTTCGAGAAAATAAGTTTTTTCTGAACCCATGCAGTGCGCCGTAATAATCAATGACGTTATCGCGTCTTGACAGCCCCCGAAATAACGATTTCAATATGTATTTTTTGGAATATCCCGAACAGCGTATGTGATAGGCGAAAACCGCAAATACAAAAAATGTAGCTATTGATGCGGCCTATGACACTGTTTGAACCAATTAGCCATATTTTTTACGATTTTTGATTTGCTACTAATAATTTTCTCTGGAAAAGTACAATTTTCTAGGTCTTTTAGATTTTTGCCTATAATTTGAAAACATATTTTTCTGAAAGCTAAATTTATCAAAATTTTTAAAAAATACTTGGTAAAATTTGATTGCACCCAATCTTTACCGTTCAAATGTGGACAAGGACTTTTACTTCTCTGCTAAATTTGAAGTTGATATCTGCAAATTTAGGACACTTAACACATTCCTCATTTAGCACGGAATATCTGGAACACCCTGTAAGACGAAAATCTTAAATACAAATGTTTTTGCTGTCTATGCGGGCTATATGGCAATATAAAACAAAGTGAGCTCTGAATAGTCTTTCAATTATAACCAATTTTCAATAATAGGGGGACCAATTTTTCAGTTTTTTTGAATTTGCGGCGCACACTGTATATTTTTGAAAAATTATCAAGAATAAAAATTTATGGAGCCGTCTCTTAAACGGTTTTTGAAAAATGATGTTTTTGTAGGCAAATTTTAATTTTTAGCTCCCACGGCTCGGAAGTTATTCAGGAAAAACCTAAACACGAGAACGGAGAACGGACAGACATATTTTTCTTTTTCAACGGTGATCATTTCTGTACCAATTGCGATCCCATAGGACCTACCGTTATAGAGATATTAAATGTTTATACGAGCATAGATACTCGATTTCATCGATTTTCGAAAGTAACAAGCAAGTGGGAACATTATAACTAAGAAGCGGACAAAATGCAAAATGCCCAGTGTTTGTTAAAATGCCAAAAACTAACTTCCATATGTGGGATGGCACCAATTTGTTTTGTACAGCTTGTTCTGTATATCATGCAACAAGTGTGGTAAAGGGCGAGTGACTTAAAATGTTTACCGAACGTGTTGCATACTATACTTTTTTACTTCACTGTAAAATGTAAACTGCAATATTTATGTTTTAGATTTTATGTTTTGTGGGTATCTATGAATAAAAATCTTTCATTACGAACCAGGTCTAAGGTATAGGTGGTAAAAAAATATATGATTTCAGAATCAAATGGTCCTGGCTTTACTTCAAATAACATTAATGTTCATAAATTTTCATATAACCAAAATGCATATTTGCATTTTGTGTTTATTTCGATATATTCTGAAAATTTTTTGCACATATTTATTATATTATATTTCTTTGCATTTCTGGCTTCAGGAAATTATTATACGTAGAACCATTTTTTCAATATTCTTTGTTTTTATTTAATTTTTGAAAATTGTATCTAGACGGCCATAGGCACAATATACAAGGTGGTGTGAATTATAATTGAGAAATAGCATATTCGACAGATAAAAGTAAGTAAAGAAGTTCATACAAACTTATGTCCTAAAATGCTTCATTTCCTATATACAAGGCATTAAAACATTACGAAAAGAATCGTTTTTTTTTTCATTTATGAAAAATGTCCTCTAGATTTTGCTTTCAAATTAATTGGTATTAAGTTATTATTATAATTTCTAGAATTGTTATGTAAATAAAATTTTCCCGAAAACGGGCAGTTTTAGCAAAAGAACCGAAGAGATAATTTTTGTATAGGATTGATTGGGGTATCAAAATTGATTAACAAAATTGTGATCCACCACTTTTTTACGAATTAAATGAATTAAAACGTTGCACGAACGTAACTGCTTAAACAAGCACAGGTTTATCGATGCCAAAAGTTTGTTTTGTGTCTCGAAAACAACGTAACTTCTAAATTCATTTCATGCGAGAAGGAAAAGACCAGATCTGCAAAATATATTTTTATAAAAATAAAATATTTCGTAGGAGGCTTTGCTTCTGTGCGTTAGTTAAAAATTCGGATCTTGTGTAGAGTTTCACTTGGTCTCGAGAAATATATTATGAAGCCACCCAAATTTCAGATAACTGCACTTTCTTGTGTTACCTGTTATATTCCGTTCCTTTGCGCCTTAATCTCCGAAGAAAAACAATCTTCCAACCACTTTTCAATGTGTTATTACTCTGTAAATTTTCTACTGTCAATTTATGTGACGCAGCGTCAATAGCATCAAAGATGGACGTGTATGGACGCCTTTGCTAGAGTAATAATTCATATACACATAAAGTTATGATGTACATATATATTTCTATAAGAAAATATAAGACCCTACATACGTTCACGGAGGTGGATTGAAATTTTAGAAGTTTCTATTTATAACGAACGTGAATCTCTTGCTCGTTTGACGGCTAAAACGAAAGTAGTTTCGCAAAAACGAAAAATAAATTTTCAGTTTTCCCTTTTCCGTGAAGTTTCTCCATTATAATTCGGACCACCCAGTACATTAATTAAACTTTTTCTTAAAACAAGCTTCCAACCATTTTTCAACATATATGTAAATCTTCTAAATTCATTTCATGCGTCACTTGATGTGACGTCATTCTCCACTAGCGTCAAAAAACGGACGTGTGTGGACACCCTTACTACATCAATAATTCGTATATACTTAATAGTATGATGTACGTGTAACATTTGTATATATATTACCCTACATACGTTCATGTAGGTAAATTGAAAATTTGGGAGTTTCTATTTATAAAGAACGTGAATACAGTGGCGCAGTCAAAATTAAAAACAAAAATTGCTTAGGAAAGTCAGGCTCGTATGACGGCGGAAAAGTAGTTTCGCAAAAATAAAAAATAAATTTTGACTTTTCCGTGCTTAACACATAATAAAAATCTAATTTGCAAAAAAATGCACAATTTAGTAATTTTCATTGAAATGAACTCTCTATAAAAGAATATGGGTAATATGGGTAATAATATATATGGGTAAAATATATTGCACAGTTTTAACTAAACACAAAATAAACGGCAACCAATATTTACAGCAGAGCCATAAATCAATCCACGCCCAGCGTTATTTCAAATTTTAGACCCGCTCCCGCACTACGTCACTGTTCTTGCATGACGTAACTGCTAATTTTAATTAACACAACACCAAAATACGCGGCAACACCTGTAAAGCCCCAAAGTTGATTTAGGTTAAGTTAATGGGTTCTGAAATATAGTTCATTCATTGTTAACGATTAGATGAACGCGGCAACCTTCTAGAAAATTAGCATAAAATCCTCTTCACTGATACTTCAACCTTTTCCAGAAACATAAGCATTTATTCAAACCGGAAAAGCCTGTGATATTCCAAAAAAGCAAGAAAGAAAACAGTTCCAAAAAAAAGAAAATCTGCTTACGCTGTTCACAGTAATTGATTGGCATCTTTTAATCTACCTAGCGTTCTACCAAAACAACATAGACACGCAAAGCCAAATATTAACCGCATAAAAATGCAAATTCTCTGATCCGCCGCCGAACAGTCAATTAAAACGGAAACGCGAATAACGTGGAGTACCGTTAATTAAATCCCGATTTCGTTCATAACAACGCTCTTCCCTTTCTGCATATGCAAGGAAGTTTCCAAAAGAACCAAAACGACTCCACGAAACAAAGGAGGCCGTGGTCAAAGCGAATCGACAAAAGAATCAAGTGGGCCCTCATCAAAAGATTACCTCGCTGTTTTCTCACAGCCAGTTCGACTACGATCGATAGTTACACAGGGACAAGCAGGCCAAGTTTCTCTCAGACTGCTCCCTCCGACGATTGAAAGACCTCTTTTCCTTCGAAAGGGGAACGTAGAATCGTCGACTCAACGCAAACTCTGCTGCTTTATCGATCAACTTGCCCGCTTTCATCATATTTCACGGTACCACTGCATTCTACGTACCAGTTTGGATCAGAATCATCTTACCTGTGGAAAGCAGCTGCACACAGGCTGCATATCTTCATTGTGTGACGGTTTTAATTTGTCGTGCGTTGATTTTGTGGTGCGATTTTGTTGTTTTCGAACTAAATTTGGATTGCAGATTGTAATTAAATCCTCTAGGGCAAATAAAATTCTGGGTAGGAGGTTCTATAGAGCGGATACTCCAGCGTGAAGCATACACAGGAGAACAAACATGGCGGATGTATTCTGTCGGCTGTAACTTGGGTGTATTTATGTCGGGAAATTTGTTTATAGTTTGTCGTTTTTCGTGATTTAAACTGTTAAATATTTTAAAATGAGTGTCGATAAAGACGATAGCGCAACGGAAATGGACGAACCGGTCGAAAATGTTGACCCAATGTTGGATATGTGCAGGTTGTGTGATCAATCGGGTGAGAAAATGTTTGGTATATTTGAAGACAACGAGGATGGCTATGAAATAATCAGATTAATTAAAGAAAATCTACCGATTGTTGTAAGTTTTTCACTTAAATAAGAGTTAATAAAAATATAACCTAACATTTTAATTGAATTTTGTTAGATATATAAATCCGATCCTTTATCGAAGCAAGTTTGCGAGACTTGCGTTGAGACGCTTCAAACATTAAGTGTTTTCAAGAAAACGTGTAGGAAAACCCAAGAAAAATACGTGGACGAACTTAAAAGTAATGGTGATGTGACAAACAAGGATATTCAACTTTATTTAGGCTGTACTGGAAATAAAGTGAGTTGCATTAAAGTTGTTTGTTGTTCCATTACGTCAACATACGAAATTCTTGTCTTTTTTTGTAAAAATGTGAAAGATTGCTTTGAAATGTTGGCCTTGAACTGATTCTGGAGAAAATTTACTTGTACTCAATTTTTTTTAATGTAGATCGGGGATGGTGATGATGATGAAGAGGAAGATGATGAGCTTAAAGACAAAGGCACTTCTACTGATGATATATCAATTTTATGTGTGAACTGCAAACAGTCGATTCTGGATGCTAGTACAGTGAATGGTGAAGTCGAATTGTGCACAGATTTGCACAAAATTATTGCAGACTCTTTAAGGAAAAACAGAGTCATTACAGGTTAGTTTGTTGCTTATTGCTTGTGTTGTTGTGAAAATATGTTTTGTGTGATTCTTATCCTATTTTGTCGTATGTGAGCCAACAAAAGTAATTTAAAATGTTCACTCTTTATCTAAGGGCTGTTTATGGCGTTGATGCAGACTAAGGCACATGCGAAGTGTTGCGCTTTAAAGATGGATGGGCGGCTGGTGTGTAAAAAATGAATTGTGCTAAGCGGAAAAGAATTATGACAATAAAGCTTTGTATACAGCAGTGGGCAAGGGTTTATCAGACTTGGATGAATGGTTTGTTGGTTTTTAAATGGTTAAAAAATCACAATAAAAATAATATTCAGCATATAAGGTTCCCGGAAGTTTACTTTGATTTCAAACATTCATTTGAAGCTCATATTGACATGAAAATGTCAAAAAGAGGTTAACATATTGAAAAACAAACACTTTAATAAACTGGGAGTTTTAACAACACACACACACGTACAGGGCGTTTTATAACAATTACGAGAAATTTAAACTATTCGCTTGTTTAAAATAAAGGGTAGGTTGCTATATAAACTTTCGCTCAAAAGCCAACCATTAGAAAGATCTTAGATATTAGACAAATCAAATATTATGGAATTATTACTATTATAAAAATTGAATTGGACTGCCCCTATTATTCGACCTAATTAAATTTAAAGGAAAAACATGCAATGACCTAAAAATTTTTTTTTTGTTTTATGTTTCTTAATTTAAAAAAATCTTTCCATTGCGTGAAAGATTTAATGAACAGCGAGATAAAGTTTAATGATTTTTAAATCAAGACGACCTATCAAAAAATACTTTTCATTTGGAAACGTCAAATAAAGCTTTGATTTAATTTAATGTGCCGATTTTTCTTTTTTGGGAAAACAGCCGACAGTGAATCTGAAAAAGTTCTCCGTAAAAGGAAAATACAACCGATTTATCAGGAATTGGAGGATTCCTTGTGCAGTAGTCTTACGGAATTCACGAGGAATACGGAAGACGACAACACTTCCCAGTACGGTTTCGATATGAACAGTGATATCGAGACCGACGAGTCTGGTGAAGAGAGACACGCAAAACGCAGGAAAATTGACAGCGATGGTGCGCTCCTCAAACCTCGTGCGAATATAGCGATAAAGTATTTTTTTCTGTAGGAGTCTTGGGAGAACAAAAAACACATACCGAAGGATCGTCACCGATAGGTGATATCCCTGGGGTTAAAGAAACCGCAGGGAATGGTGAATCCGTCGAAAATGAGGAGGAGAACGCAAAAGGTGCACCAGAAGTGAAGGTTCCTGAAGTCAACTTTGAGGAATTATTCAAGGATGAGCCCGATGTTATGTGAGTGTTTCTTTTATTTTTTATTTTCTTGTTTAATTTGTTGACAAATAAAAACAGTAACCATAAACATAAACATATAAAGGTAACACTTATATACTGCTGAAGGGAAAATAACAAGTTTTTATGCAAAAATATTACACATATGTGTTGTCATTCTGTTGAGTGTGGAAATAATCAAACAGTTATCAGGAACTTCTACTCTAAATACGTTGTTATTGATTATTCTTTAGTTAATTTTAATAACATTAAAACCAACAACAGTTATTTATTTCCTCACTCAACGTGTAATATACAAACATAAATATTCGATTACTATTCCTACATAATAATTAGGAAAAGGTTTGCATTAAAATTTAACAAATTAAGCAAACAAAAGAAAAAGAACAGGAAATTAACAATCTGAAGAGGATCTAATCTGGCCCTGACCAAATTAACGTTTTTTAGTAAAATTAGTGATTGTAGTTATTTTGCATTTGAGTGAGTGGAGAGTTTACTGCATAATTCGTATTTAAAAAGTTACAATAAAGTAAATTACTAGTAATACAACCTTTAGCTCAGTTTTATTAATTAAAGGCGAATAAGTCTTTCTTCAAACCCAAGGTAATTTAGGTTTGGATAGATTTTGAACTCAAAATAAGGTATAAACTTTTTTTGACAATTTTGCTATGTAAAAGAACCACAGATTTAAGTTTCTCAAACAATAACTTGAAGACTATAGTTACCCCGAGATCCTTGACATGGGCCTTTTTTCAAGAAGTACATTATTTAGGCTGTAACTAAAATCAATGTTATTTTTGAACCTAGAAAAGTTTATTTGGAAGCACTTATTGGTATTAACTTTTAATTTGTTTATTTCACAGTATTTGGTAAAATTATTTAAATGTGATTGTAGTTCCCAATAATCAGAGAGAGTTTTAATCACCTTATGCAGTTTAATATCATCAGCAAAGCATGCAAACTTAGAGTATCCATAAACTAGCCCTTTCAAGGTCTATCACTTAGCAAAAATGTTTTCTATTGGATTATAAATATATATACCTACTCAGGTACAGATGTCCTAAAAATCCTTTTAGTACGTTTTGAAGTCAAGAGTTCCATACATCATTGGCATTCCTTGTTAAGTAGCCATTGGTACGCATTGGTCGTGATATTAATAAAATGGTAGGTTGCATTTCATGTTTGACTGAAAGTATACCCCCAAGGCTTTTATCGATATAATAATAATCACAATAATAATATTCTTTATTGCAGATATATCAATATAATAAAATGCATGCAGACTATTAATAAAAAAAAATTGAAATAGCTTTAAGAATCAGAAACATTGAGTGTGCGACCATTGATAAACATGCTTTTTATAAGTGTTAATAATTTTCAGTGCTTTGATGTGCTAGGCAATATTCTGTGTGCTTTAATTGCCATAAAGAATGTTCATTTTTCAAAGAGAGTAGAATTATGTCATCAGCATATAAATCTTTGTTCTCAGGAAATAAATGTATATTTTTTTACATAACTAATGATCCAAAATATAATGATGGAAGTGTTATTATTTTAATTTATAATTATTTTTCTGGAAGACCCCCATATCTTATAGTGGATTGGCCAAGACCATGATAAAAAAGTTTAATTATTTTGAGTGAAACAATCTCCTTCAACTTTCGGACAAGTCCACATATATTTCCCGGTTTTGATTGGGTCTGTATAGAGTCCCACGAATTTCATATGATGCGTCATTGGAATCGTCTAAATTTCTCTACAAGCACCAGTATTTCATCCGTTCTGTCATACCAAAACAACCCAAAATGTGCAAACTGAAACACTAAACCCAACAGAAATTGGACCGCCAAACTATTCACATGCAACACAAATAGGATAGGTCCCAGAATGGAGCTCTGTGGTACCCTCTGACTTATTGTGATTGTTTTCTGCATGATGATCCACGGTGTCAAAGATCACAAACCTTAAGATTCTTGTTGCAAAATCTATTATAATTGCATGAATTTTTTTCATAACGTTAATTTAATTGACTCTTAGACTATATAATCATTCAATAAAATTGCATGCCCGAATCAAGTTATCTTTCCAGCATCCTTCAGCGATGAAATATTGTTAGGGGAATGTTTATTGGTCTCTTGCCCAACTGAGCTCCATACGTAATAATCAAGGGGATTAAGATCTAGAGAACTAGGTTGCCATAAGTTTTGGGTGATGTGGTGATAAAAATTTTCAGCCATCCTATCTTGTGTCTTGTCTCTTCCGAGTTTGTGCCGATATTAACTGCCCTTTGCGCATAACGTAGGACTTATACCGGAGGTCTTCATGGACAACTTGAAAGATTAGATCCTCGAAGACAAAAAAGACAAAAAAATTGTTCTCCATAAATTACAGCCACATATATGGATGTCCTCTGTATTGCTAACTTATTTTTACCTCGTGCACAAATTTTCTTGTCGTTCTATGCGTGTATGTGATTTTTTTTCTATTTTCAGATATGAGCCTTTAAGTCTTTTACAAATCGCCTTAAATTGTATCAACGTCCAAAACGTCCCTGACTATGTTCCGGAACACTATACAGAAAGGTCTAGCGCGACCAAATGCAACGTTTGCGGCAGAACTTTCCAGAACGTGAAGTTGTTGTCGTTGCATGAGCCTTGCCATATCGACGTCGAAATCGAAGAAAAAATAGATAACCCGACCCCCTGGCCAGACACCCATCCGGACGCGCCTATTCGAAACAAGTGGCTCACTTATTTCGACGAAAACGGTTACGAAGAAGATGACATGGTCGTGGAGGAAACGGAGGAGGCCCCGATAGTCGAGGATGCTAATTTGCTAGCACCGAAATCTAATCCCACGTGGGACGGCACCAAGCCCGACCAAATCGTTTTGGTCGACATGAAACCCATGGTAAACGGAGTCTACCTCGGGGACTACACGAAAGAAGAGAGGAAGGCTTTCTATCAGTGCATGAGGGTCGGCGGGCAGACCAAACGGTTCTGCACCCTGTGCCGGTACTGTTTCAAGGACAATTGGGCCATCGAGAGCCATTACTTTTCCTTGGCTTGCCATTACACGTGCCGGCATTGCGGGATGCGGTTTAACAAGCAACGACATCGGTAAGATTTTTATATAATTAATTATTTTACTATTTAATCTTAATTAATTTTAATTAAATGACTATTTTAAAAACAAAAACAGTTCTCCATTTGCACCTATTTTTCTAGGCAAGAAAATCTTCAACCAACATTTAAAAGTTGGCATAATAATAATAAGCACCTGATTTGAACCAATTTTAATAAAAAAAAGTTGCTTATAGGAAAAAAAAGAGTATAAAAATACTTACAGTCTGGAAAATATTTTCACTTATATTTCTTTTACCAACGAAAGTGTGTAGAATAAATAAATTCAGTTTAATTTTGCAAAATAAAACATATTTAATATATTTCAAACAAAAAATTAAACAATCAAATTTTAATAAATCTTGGTTTAGTTCAGCACTAAATGCTAAAACAGACAAAAAAAAATACATATATTCGTTCATGATAGTTTTGTAACAAAAGAACCTCATTGTAGGGTAAGTAATTTTCTTTTGGCCATTCCATCACTAAATTAAAAGAATTTATAACATCATTTTATTAGAGTCATGCTACGTTTTTTCAGTTTCTTCAACTTCATTTTCTACTTCAGGATTTCATTCAAGGTTAAATGGATGACTTGCCTGGCTCGTTCCATAATTTCAGTAGGTGCGAAATTACAATCATTAAATAAGAATTTTTTACAATTTGCGGTTACGTTGTTGGGAACAGCTGATTTTACTTCTGAATTGACCTACATTTAACTCATATATTTAGCTTCAAAAAACTAAGTTGCTTATATAGAACAGTTGAACTAAAAAAAGTTGCTTATATAGAACATTCACTGTATTATTATCAGTGGGTTTTAAAGGATATAACAAAAAATTGTGCAATATTCTAAAATATAAAATTGTGGATTGGTGTTTACTACACCCTGCGTTTACACAAAAATGTGTTTTACTTGCTCATTGCTTCAAGAAGTTTGACCCGAAATCAATTTAAGAAAGCTGTGATCCCTGGTCACTCAGCTGGTGAATACATACCAAATTTGGTGATATTGAATTAGCGGTAAAAAAAATAATCCACCATCGCCATAAAAATATTTTAGTTTTGAGAAATTAAAATTATTAAATATGGGCAGGTCCTTTTTTAAAAAATTATGGAAGAGGTAGTTCAGATGAACCCATCGGTAAAATAGCTTTGTTCTATGAAACTTTTTTTTATTGTCTTTTTAACAAAATTCTGGTTCATGTATATTTGGTCATTAATAGATTAATTAAGTTTTAGAAAAATTAAAAAAAAATAATATTCTCAATGAAAAAAACAAACCTTGACTTAAATTTAAGTAGTTCAAATGAACCCATCAGAAGAATAGTTTTAAATTGTCAGCATTTTTACTTTTCTAGCAAAAATCTGAATAATTCTTTTAATATGAAAGCATTTGAAATAGAACAAAATTAACAATACTGGGAGAGTGAACTTTATAATAATTAAAAAAAAAACACTAAATTTTAAAAACCATTTGCTATTGCTTGATATACAAGACAAAAGACTAGCTTATACAAAATAATAACCACTAAACTGTCTTACCCTCATTGCGGATGCTTTTTAACTAATAGAATAAGAAAGAAAAAGAAGCACTATTTTTTTGAGAAGCAAAATTTGACAGAGGATTATGATGATCCTCTAGATTCTAAAAAGTACTCTAAACAGGTGGTTTTGGCATATTGTTAGTTTTATTATATATGTTCGTTTTTTTTATACTATCTAGCACAATATATCCAGAGGAAACTAAATAAATATATTTTCGGAACCAACATATGCTAAACGCATTTAAATATTATTATAATTTATCAAATTTATTATTAGTACTACTGCTACTAATTATAGCGCCAACACAAACGAAAATTAATCTTAATTAAGTTGTAGTGTTTTATTTTTTAGTTAAACTTACAGTTTCAATTCTCTGAATTTTCACATTTTATGTCCCGTTTTTGGCGACAACCATTTGGGCGTGGCAAGTCAATTTTTTGAAATAGAATAGTGATTGTTGTGCTCATGAAGTTCTTTTTTTACGGAATAAATACTCAGAGAAACTCATTGAAAGACGAAACAATGACTTATTATTGAATTATTTCAAGGAAAAAATGTGTAGTAATTTCCAATTTGTTTGTCAACGACCCATATGGAATGTTTTTTTTTTAATTAGGTGTTACTCTGGGTGTAAAGTAGGATAAGCACATGTCCAGTTTTCACAAATTTGGGAATTAAAAAATAACTTAACTTCAACTTGAATAAACTATAATTTCCATTGTCTGTATAAGAGCATGTTCCGTACAGGGTGTTTCAAAAAATTTTTCACTTATTTGTAGGGCAAAAAGAATATTAAAAGATAACATTAGATTGATACAGCTCCATAAAAGGGGTCGTAAAAATTTTTGTTTAATTATTTCTGAAACAGTTTAAGATATCTAAATCAAATTTACGTGACAAATACTTTCTGACAAAATTAAAAAATAATATTTTAATATTTTATGCAGAAGTGTCGCCATAGACGCTTATTTTGCCCGTAAACTTCACAGTCACATAAGTACATACAGTTTTCCTTAAGAATGGTACTTTTGTTTAAAGCAAAAATTGCTGGTGATCGATTTCAAAAACATGTTTATTAACCAAACTGACACTGATTTTTCAAAGAAACTTCCACAGGCTACTGTAATATTATTTACAAATCTTGCCGACTTTTCTTGTTGACTTTTTCTTCAGCTTAACTGAAACTGGCTCGCATTGTACTCTGTACCTGCTTATATATTGTTGGGGGGAGGAGCTAAATGTCTCGGATAACTGATTCCCAAATTGGTGAAAGGTAAATTCCTGAGTCGTGGTTAAGATTGTTCTTTGCTTATAGATTTCCATGGATACGCGGATTTTTCTTTAGTAGAAAAATTGATTACTTGCAAAAATTTTAGTTTTATTGAATAAGATTTGATGTACGGGTTCGTGATTGTGTTCGGCAACTGGAGAATCTGGAACCAAGCTTTCTCATCTTAATTGAAAAATGCTTGACTGGTACATATTTTTCTTGTAACAGTTAAATTTATAAACAAACGTCGGGAACAGCTATGAATTCGCCATTTTGTTATCTGGCCTTATGGTCAAAAATCCCTCCAAGATTTTCTTAGCCATTTAAACTCTTTAAAATACTTTTTACTATTCTACCCACTTAGATTGATATCTTAAGCAACCACACAATGTTAAACGCGACTTATGTCTTCACCTTTCACCAATATGGAAATTAACAAACTTACTAGAAATAGAGATCAATTAAAATTGATTGCAGTTATAGAAAATCACCTGAAAGTGTCTTCTTTTAAATATATTACCTCTAGAGTTGCGGGAGACTACCAACCTTTCCGCTGTTAAATGAAGATTGAAAACGATACTGATAACAGAGGCATTTTAAGTCCTAAATGAATTTAAAGAGTATTTAAAGAATCTGTATTTGTACAGTATTTTATATAATTTTTTATATTTCTTTTTGACTTGTCATTTATATGGACCAATAAAACATCATTATCATGAATAATCCGAGACCCCCTCAAAAATATATAAGCAGATACGAAGTTGAATGCGAGCTAGTTGAAGTTAAGCTCTGAAGAGGCCAACAGGATGATTGGCGAAACGTCAGCAAGTTTAATTTATAAACAACCGACGCATAAGGAATCCAGTAGATTTGTGAATAGTACAAACTAACGTTATTTTTAAGTATTCAATTACCTAAAAATTAGGAAGTGATTTTTGAAACACCCTGTATATTAACATTTAACACCTCGTTATCGACTTATGGCAGATTTGAGGAGCACGTCAAGGAGCACGCGGACAAACGCGATCCGATCTCGGAAAAAATTTACACTGCCAGCAAAGTGAACAACATAGTACCGAAGGTGATACATCCGGAGAAGGTGAAGGTGCAGCGGATCGTACCGGGAATGCCGGAAACGCCGCGAGAGGTGCCTCCCAGAGGTTTTAACTTCGCTCCCTGGTAACCTCGTAGCTTTTCCAGATAAGATTGGAGGATTACGAAACCGCGTCACCGACGAGTCAATCGTCCAACCCGATGCTGACGAGGAGACTCGAGAGACGCAGTTTGCCGCCCAACCCGGCGTATCCTCAGCAAGGCTTCGTGACGATCAAGGAGGAGCCGAAAGATTTTGTCGCGTCGCAGTCGAAAACCGGCAACCAGGCGTTCTTTTGCAGGAAATGTTACAAGGTGGGGTAAAATTTCATGTTTACAATTTGTGGTCAAATTATTTCAACTAAACGAAATTAGTAACGTTAATAATGTCGTACTGGATCTCGCAAAATTGAAAAAAAAACGCTATTTTATTACTTATTCTTATTGAAACAACAGTATTGTCTGCATTTAGATTGAAAAGGAAACCATGCAAATCATAATTAACAGATAATAAAATAAGCATCACAAAGTTTTATTTTCAATGTTTAAACAACAATTTAAACACTTTAGAGATTTAAAACAAAGAGCACATCATTATATATTGTAAGTACTTTTTTTTTCACTTAACGTTTAAACCAGAAAGTTGTATTTTTTGGCTTTGGGCACATGCAATATTAATGTAACAGATTTTATTATAAAATATATTTTTATTAGAATTAACAGATTTTTTCAATCACACTTAATTGTCGTTACTTAGGTTTTGGTCATAAAATGATAGAAAGTTATTAATAGTGTTTAGGTGTGATTTTTCATCCCTTCTTGGATATACTATTTTTTATAATTTTATAACGTCCATATATGACATATACACTACATTGCTTGTTTTCTTATCGCCAACAATTAAAAAAATGAACTACTCTTAAAACCAAAAATAAAACGGTTACAAAAACTTGGAGACACTGAAAATACAAATGGCGGTCACCCACACAAGTGTACTATAAAGTAATAATTTGTTTTAGTACATCATTCCGTTTGAAACAAATACGCAATACATGAAATATAGGAAAAAAGACAATTGTTCATTTGGACATCACAAACGCATAGTAATTTATTATAAAGTACATATTAAATAATGATAGATAACACTCAACAATTGCGAGATGTTATTTAAAATATTTTGATCGAATCTCACTAGTCATTTGACCAGCCCCAGTACTAAAGGTGACTATTATCAGGATTTCAAATCGGCAAATTACCTGGGGTCAGTCTCATGGACTGAGCTGTTCTCAGGACGGACTGTTTTCTCTTTTCTATGACATACTATACAAAACTTTTGACATTTTTTTACCAGTGGAAAAGATCTCTGGTGGAAAATTCGTCAAATGGTTTTGACAGGATCTCAAGGCACTTATTATTCAAAAAAGGATTGCCCATAAAAGATGTAAGCAAGGTAGGCTTCTGGGCAACTAAACAAAAGCAGAGAACATCACAGATAACAAAAACTGTATAAATGAAGTGACCTGCGAGTGTGAAAAATCTTACGTAGGCGAAACGAAGTGACCACGGGATGTAAGAATAGCAGCAATGTGGAGAAACAATTAGATCTGGTCTTACAGAGCACACTTGGATAGAACATCACAAAAGCAAATGGACAGACGTCAGAATTCTACAAAAGAAATCCATTGGATGAAAAGAAAGTTCATAGAAGTTGCCTTCTTGCAACGCAACAACAACATCCTAGTATAGAAATTACAGCGCTGTGGCAACAACGCATCTATAAAAAGAATTAATGCAAGGATGCGAGTTTTTTTGCGTCAAGAGAGAGCCCAATAATGTCAACATCTTTGTCCTAACCTAAAATGTGAGTGACTATTCTAGCTCTCCAATTATCAGATGTACCTGTACTTATAACAGGGTAGAGAACGCGTTTAAAGATCTTAACCTATTTGCTCTGAGGTTTGAAGCCTTTAAACGACACTTAAGGGGGTATACCAATTTAGACACTGTAATAAAAAGTTGTAATTATTTCTTAATTTGATTTAGCTTGTAAAAAATAATTTAAACTAGTCCACTGACTAAGTATCTTTATTTGACATTTTGTGCTTTTATTTTATTGGACAGCTGCGTCTGTCTGTGGGAAAGACTTGTTTATAAATAAAAGAATTCAAGACTCAAAGTTAGATTTTGGGAAAAAGATCACTTTACGGGTTGTTTCATTAATGCCTTGTTATTTCAAATTTACCAAATGAAACTTTAATTTATTATTTATGTCGGCAAATGATATTTAAAATCAAAGTAGTAAATGTTATTATTCATGTTTATTACTTTTTTTACAATTCCTTCGAATGTTAGACATTTCTATGTTCTGACATGCTGTTTTCAAATATTTAGTATTACCATGTATTTTTCGTTAATCCCTGATCAATTGTTGGAGATTTCCATTTCAAAAAATGAATAATGATGAATAAATTTGATTGCCCACCAGATAAGAATTCCTCCATTTCAGAGACTCGAAAACAATTTCCAGCATTTGGTCTTCCCTAATTTACTTAATAATTGTTTTTTTAAATTTGCCTCGTTACTTTTACTGGGACACTCTATATACAGAGTGGTTCGAATAAAAATAAGTAAAAGAGTTTAAACAATTTAAAAAAATTCTTCTAATTAGGTAGGTATTATTGTCACTTAAAACTAACGTATAACATAAATAAACTAGTTTTTATTTTACCAGTGGTATTCGTGAGAGCGTCTTAATTATTTTAAGTAATGAAAAAACGGGTGCGCCAATGGTTTATCTCTAATAAATTTAGATCATCTGATCAATTGTAAACAAAAATGGTCTCTTCAATTACTTTCCATTTTTTTTGTTATTTAAATTAATTAAAACGTTTCATTGTGATAAATTTTAAAAAATTAACGCTTTTAATTTATTTTGATTGGAATTGTAGACTTGGGCAATGTCTGCGTGAATGGGTATCATCTTTTTAGACAATGAAGGAAAGTAAATAATATTTTCAGGTATTTTTCAAATTGGACGAGTTCAATATTCACAACAAGAACTGCGACTACAATCAGCAGCCGCAGACCTTCCGGACCATTCAGTTCAACTCGAATCCGCCTGGTTCGGTCGCGAAATCGCCTAATTTAGCGAAAACGACCGTTCCCTCGCAGAACAGCGAGAGGCGCAACGGGGATTTGAGCAACGCCGGCCGTCCTGTAAGGAATTGTGTCAAAGAGATCGGGACCTACAAGGTAACATGCCCAAAAAATCCAAAATTTCACAATTTTAGTTAGCGGTGAGGGCTTTTAAAGAACATAAATTGAAATAAACATGAGTTATACTCAGCAAATAATGGCAACATTGGAAAATTTATGCTTAAATATAGAAAAAATCACAAAATCGCCAGATACATCTATATCACTTTATTAAATAATAATAATATCTATACAAGAAAAAAGGAGGCCGAAATTTAATTTAAATAAGATTCTAGTTCAGTCCCCAGGTAAACTATATATAATGTCTTTTAATTTTCACAGTGCCAATTACACTAAAATTCTAAATCCTCTACACAAAGCTCGCTGTACGCTACCATGTCCACTATAAAAAAATTGTAAAAAACAAAAAGAAGTTACTCATATAATATTAACTTAAAAGAAACTGTTTATATTGATATTTAAATGCGCTCACTGATAATGTTTTTAAGTTTTTAAGTTTTTTTAAATCCTCGTTAATATAAAGTTAAGCGATATTTACGACATTCGCGAAAAATGAAATATATATTTGTGTGTCGTCCGCATATAGGCGCACATTGCAGTGTTTAATGCACCTATTAATATTACATGTGTAAATTGAAAATAATAACGGGCCCAAAATTGAACCCTGTGGTACTCTACAAATTTGTTTTTTGTTAGCGGCGACAGACCAACATTTGTCTCTATGTACTGAAAACTCTATCCTCTAAATAGTTTAAAATTAATTTACCAAAATTAGAGTGAAAACCAATATAATAAAAAATTCACATGCTTTGCTTAAGTCTAATAAAGTCAACGCTGTGGGTTTGCCTTTATCGGTCGCATTAATGATATTGTCAGTTAAGAGAGCAGTGGTACAGCTGAATTCTGGCATGAATCTAGATTAGCACGTTGGTAAAATGCAAAATTGGTCAATGTGTTCCATCATTTGATAGTATCAGTAATATACTTATCGGTCTTGAATCATTAAAACTGTCAACATTTTTTGTCCACACATTTCAGTTAGATCAAAATGAATGCCATAATTAGTTCTATTGAAATCAATATTAAATAGCTTCCTATTTGTAACATTCATATTTTGTAAAGTAATGTCAAAATAGTTTCGCCTACACTCTAGCGGTGGAATGTTCAGTAATTTCATAATATCAGTGTGGTTTGTCTAAGCCTTTCAGCGTCTACACGATGGAACTTTTAAAGGAAAATCTCCTTTTTAATTGATAAATGTTACTACACTCTCTGTTACTCTTTCAGAGGGAGTTTTTTAAAAATCTCTATTTTTTTGCGTTTCTATATACAAATTTAATGGTTTAACCTAAAACTAACAGTGTAATAGGTATAAGCAGAAAATTTTGTTTTTATATAGGACATACAGTATATTTTCTAATAGTTGAAAATGTTTAAGAGTGTACTTGCTTTAAACAAATAGGCTTTTCATCGATTAAAAAATATACAGGGTATTCGATATAAAAAAATCGTTTTTTCTGTATATTTCATATATCTATTAAATAATGGTTCCAGTACGGTAAAAATTTTCGTAGAGAAGGTAAATGATTTTCCGCGCATGTCTCTATATTACACCCACTAATCTGCACTTTCCGTCATTTTCTTTTTAAACGGTGATTTCCACGCATTGAACTTGTTTTTCCAAAGCATTTATCGAGATCTAGGCATATTTTGAGGAAATACTGCCGTAAAAACGCCTGATCCGCGGCCATATTGGATTTTGGTTGCCACAAGATCATTGGCTCTCCAAATTTTTTTCTTATCTATCGTTATTTAATAATAATATGTATTTATGATAAATTATTAGGCCTTTGAATGTCCAATTTATGCTTAACCCCGTTTAAGGATTATTTGAATATGATGTTTGGGGGTTTGGGAAATCAAAATAAAAATATCGACTCTAGTTCTCAGAATAAATAAATATAAATAAATAAATATTATTTACCATATTTTTATAAATAAAAATTTATTATTTTTATTTATTGTTTATCAGAAATTGCCTTTCTACAATAAGAAATCCGCATCAGACACTATGTAAGCCTAAAAAAAAACAAACATGTGATTTCAAATATACAGATAGAAGTTATAGTTTTATTTTTAGTTTTTTTTAAAAAGTATATATATTTCTAATAAGGTATTTGTAATAAAGGTATTTTTATTGGAAAACTCCATTGTGGTAAATTGTTTCAAATTGATACGGAGTAGATCTGGTCGGGTTTAATCAAGTAAGGGCAGCCTTTATAGGAAAATTATCAATTTAAATAACTTAGAGTTTGGTAAATTAAGTGTGTGAAACCTGTTTCGAGGCGAAGCAAACCACTTGAAGATGATTTAGGAAAAAGATTTTTTTGAAATAATAAATATAAATTTCGTTGTATTTTAAAAATTGTTTCTGTCAAGTGACACAAAAAAAATTGACACAGTCAATACATAGTGTCCAATTGCCACACAGTGAGCATACCTGCACAAACGCAAAAAGTGGGAATTTAAATTTGGAAACAAATTTTAGAACCTTAGGGAGGGCAGAAAATATAAGTAAAATAATAATAAAAAAAACTCTATGGATAATTTTAATATAGACACTTTGACTTGTTGCGTAAACCGAAAACACTGACCGACACAATTCATAGGACGAAGTCTACATACCCAAAGAGATATTGAACGAGCGGACCACCTCGAACCAGCCCCAAAGTTTCGTGTGTCACATATGCGGCACACCGTTCCCGACGATATATTCGCGAAACAGTCACATGCGGATTCACAAGGGCGACATGGGCGGTTTGCCCGGCATGCTCATGCCCTCCCCGCATTTGCAAATGAGGCCCCACCCCCAGCAGCAGCAACATCATCGGATTCCGATGCAGCACCAGCAGATGAATTATCCCCGATTCGAAGACGTCAAGGTAATTTTTGAGTAGTTACGTTCCCACCCACTTAACTTGATAGTTTAGAGGCGAACGGACGAGCTATCAGCGCCAACATTGTTGATCATTGAACATCGCGAGATCTTATTGGTTGCTTGAAAACTAGTTTTGAAATGATTTGTTCTTCCGCATATTGAATCCTTTAAAAATGTATGTGTGCATGTATTTTCGCCCTAGACAAGGCCTCCAGTAGCTCTATGGCATAAAGCGACACTAGGGTATGCGACAAGTTACTCGGGTGGAGGAAATAATCATGCTTTTTTATAGTTCACGCGATGGGGTTAAATATTTCGATATTTTGTCGTAATCATGCTAACGTTTTTTTAAAATTGTGGTAAAAGGACATTTTAAATCAGGGAATATTGTTCTGACATCTTTAGTGCTATTCAAGCTATCGTCGTCACACCAATGATGTCCACGCTCAGTTTAAATGGAATTGAATATAGGAATATAAATGTTCGGGAAGATGGCATTTTTGACATTCCTTTAATTGCAAATCAATTATACCTAACTCAATTTTGGACAATTGCAATAAAACGCTGGTTGCGTTTTTTAATCATCATCACTGGATTCTGGAAAGTATACAATATCCATTTATTTTCATCTCAATTCGGTTTATCGGATCCCGATATCATTTTAGAATAGAAGAGAACGCCTATACATTACAGACAGACATTACAACTGAAACTAGTTGTGAGTTGGGAGAGAAATATTTTGACGCATTGAGAGGAAGGGCTTTACGCCTTTCTTTTTTTGCTATTAATGAATTTTAATTATTTTTCAATTCGTTAATAATTTTGAAATACATGTGGTGGCGTTTTTTGTTCCTAGTCGTATGTAGTAATTGGTTTTCTTTATCAAAATCTAATTTAAACTGAACCATAAAAAAATAAAAACTCGGTTAAGTTTCGGATTTTTTCAGTATTGCATTGTTCAAAGCGAAGTAACCTAGAGTCCAAAACGTAAACGGTGGTAATTGGTTTATTTTTTGCGCGTTTCAAGTGATTATTGGATTATTTTAGTCATAGCTCTTTTTTCTGTGAAAACTGAAGATCAATTTTTCTTAGACGATTTAAATGTTCTTAGGTTTTCCTAGGCGTAGGTAAACATTACATTAGATTTTCCAATTCTTCTTTCACATTTGTTCGAATTAGCCACATTTCCAATGTTGTCAAATCTGTTTCAAAGGTACTAAATGAGGTCTTTAAAATTAATAATAATAATAACGATAAGAATAATAATATACCTTATTCAGGTAAGTTTGACAAATGCAGTGTGGCCCTGCTCTTTGCTGATTTCTACACTTATCCTTGTAAATAACAACATATAAACAATAATGCACAAAGATTTAAAATAAGAGTTACATTTTATATCTTTCAAAGTTTTTAGTTTGTTTGAAAAATAATTTATTGTCGCCTTCAAAAATGTTTTGGTGTGATTTAATGATTTTAATAATTTTGAAATCATCTTCATTGTCTTCATAATCTTCTTCTCTTCATATTTTAATCTCATTTAGAATTTGGTTCGTGTCTAGAACCAGCTTAATATTGCCTATTTTTATGACTTCTTCAGAAGCAAGACGCTTAATATTTGTGTTTAAAGACGAACCAAGATCTTTAGCACAAAAATTTGATAGAGCTTGTTATTAACATATGATTGCACAATTCACTATTCCACAAAGTCTATGATGATACTGCAGTATATGTTGACAGTTACCAAAGAAAATTGGACGTACAAAGAATATAATAAAAGAATACTGGGAAAAAGAGAATACACTTTATATAACGAAGGATCATTTTCTGGTAGTAGCAGTTCCAATTTTGGCCCTAACAATGAAGGTGTTTCATCGAAAATACAAACTAATTATGGATTTTTCAAAGAAACTTCCACAAGCTACTGTAATACTTTTTATAAAACTTCTGGATTCCTCCTGCGTCGGTTTTTGTTGACTCACCCTAGCTAACGTTTTGCCAATCATCCTGTTGGCATCTTCAGAACTTGAGTGAACAGTTTCAGAGAGGACATCAGAACTTGACTGAACAATTTCATTCAAGCTCTGAAGAAGCCAACAGGATGATTGTCGAAACGTTAGCTAGTTCCAGTCTACAAAAACCGACGCAGGAAGAATCCAAAAGTTTTATAAAAAGTATAAACTAATTATGATTTACTTGGCAAATTAAATTTTATGTCGGAGATCTTAAGAAAATAATCCAAATAATATAATAAAAATAATTAAATACAAATAGAAACCCGGAGTGGCGGGTTCTGATGGCGAGCGGGGCGACATAGGGTTAGACTTCTAGGAAATATTAAAAGATTGCACATAACACAGTGCTTAAAACAAACGAATAATCTAATCACTTCATTGATCATTAAAGGGAATCCCAACGATCCGCGGCCCGCTAGAGAAACTAGGGAAAATCGCCAACTGCTCATTGGCTATCGGAGCTACACTCGACTCGACTTATCCCTGGTTTCGATAACTCCAGACTGTCTTAACCCGGGCCACGTTCCGTTCACCTCGGAAAGATACCTAAGTGGGTTCTATAATAATCAGAATGACAGAATTATAACTGTTTAGTCTAGATCCAAACACCCAAAACGAAATATGGGAAAATATGCTTTAGTTTTTATTGCATGGACAAAGTTTTCGGACAGTAGTTTATTTCATGTAGATTCGCCTACTTAAATATTCGCACATCTTTAAGGAAGACCCTGATCTATTATTACATAGAATATACATGAATCCATCTCTGAGTAGTTTTAATAAATGCCAAGTACAACGGATTCTGTCTCTCTTACTGGGAAGTAAGTAAGTAATCGTCATCGTTAGTGACGGCTGTCTTGGATTGATCAGATAGATATTTAGGGTGGAGCAACATCCAAGCGGAAACAAGATGAACAATCCATTTTACTCCGTCTGCCATTTTATTGCCCACTGTGCCATCACAAATCGTAGGACTGTATTAAATTTACAGATGTCCTCTCTGAAACCTAGATATTTAATAATAGTGATCGGAATATTGTGACTAATGGTATTTAAAAGGATTAGTATAAAGTATAGTGGTTTAGTTAATCTTGCGAAAGGTGCACACTGTCATTATTTCGTGTTTATGCCAGATCAAACAAGAGCCAATGGACAGTTTCGAGCCGATGGTTGAAATCCACGAGGGGGAGCAACCATCGTCGAATCACAGCGTGAGCCTGCAGCCGCGGGAGCTCAGCGGCGGTGCGGTATCGATTACTCCGATCGCTAAGAACCCCAATCAAAAACCGACAATCAGTCCGAACGTCATGAAACTTGTCCAGAACAACCCGAACATCACCATCCACAAAAAGGCGCCGGAACGACACGCGTCGCCCGCGCAAAACAACAACTACGGCGGACCCGCCCCCAATTACATCAACAGCTCGCCCAACTACGGCGCCGGTCTGATCAACTACCCCGGCAATTCCGCGAACTATGGTCCGAATTTCGGCAATTACCCTGGCAGTTACGGGGCGGGTCCCCAAATGATGCAGGGCGATGCGGACAAGTCGTACAAGTGTTCGAGCTGCTGGGAGGCGTTCTCTAACAAGTCGCACTTGTATTTCCACAAGAAGAACCAGTGCGAGGGATCGCGGTTTCCGTGTCCGTTTTGTAAGAAGCGCTTCGGTACCGAAGCCGCTTATAGCTCGCATATATTCTACAGCCACCCTGAATGATCTACGTAATCTGCGTCCGAACACCTACGCCCTTCGGTTAGGAGGTTGGAGTAATTTCACAGAGCTAAAACTAAAATATAGGCAAGTTAGGGGTAGGGGTACCCAGTTTAACTTCGTATCATGGCCGCTAGAAGGCGCGACACATGGTTGATATAACACTAAAGATTGTTTTTCTGCTTGAATCTTTAATAGGAAAGAAGTACAGATCTGGTTGCAGACTTTTTTTTTTAATTAGCCATTGAAACAAGTACAAATGCTCACCAATCGCAAAAAAAAAACAATAAAAAAGTAGCAACAAATCAAAATTTACGTACAGTGCGTCTCATTTTTGATGATTTTACGGCGTGTTCCCTTATTAACGAGGCTGTCGTGTTGTAGCTTTCATAACCCAACGCTACATTTTTACTACTTTTAGATACAGGGTGATATTGCAAATTCTTTGCTTTGAAGTCGGCGATCCGCGCCCCTTTGCAACTTTTTTTTGTTTTCTGACATGGGTATGATAGCATGTCAATAAAAAATAAAGTTTTTCTGTATTTATTTTTAATAATCGTATATGTTAAACTCACAAATTTTGATATAAAAACTAAACTTGTGTTTTCTTTTTCTAAACCATTAGTAGATAAAGTCATAAAAGTGGAAGTTTCATTGTTTTCTCATTAAGGTGTAGTTAGGGATAAATAAACATGTTTTTACTTTTTTTTGCAAAAAAAATATTAACAAGAAAACTGCATGTTCGCTAAATCGAACGTTACGCATATGGGATAGATAAAAAATAAAATAATTTTACAAATATTGAACATTATTAAGCGATATAGTATTGTGGAAAACAGTTTTTAGGATGTAATTTCGGTAAACTTTATATTTTCTTTAATTTTCGGAATACTCCGGTAAATGATTTATTTTATTAAGTTTTACATCATAAATTGATGATGGCGCAGCTTCTCCTTTATTAGATTAAGACTTAAAGCAATGTATCTTCTAAATTTCAATAGAACACTAGACATTTGGTGGGAAGGATGTACTTTTTGAAAAAGTAGCCACACACTCAAAACGGGTACATAGAAGTGATAGGAGAACCATTTTTTCTGCCTCATTCTGGTTCGGTAGACAGCGACTAAACCATCCAGCTTGTCAACCCGTCCCATACCTTTCAAAAATTTTAGATTGGGAAATTAAAATTTTTTATTTACTCTCTCGGCAGGAGCGAGGAGTATTTTTCTATATCAGTAGATTCGAAGTTGGATGCTGCCGTAACAACTTTATTGCCTTTCCATTGGAAAAAGTATTCCTTCCGCGTTTTTCTTTGATAAACTTTTTTTGGTCAATCAAATCTGTTAGCTCTAATAGTACTTGTGGCACAGTATCCTAACGCAGAAAGATGGTCCAGTAAGTTTATAGAAGTAAAATAATTATCCGTGAAGATTTTAAATCCTTATATGCTTATATCAAGCATGTCTAATACGACACTACCATCTAAACCAAATGAGGATGTTTATTTTTGAGAATGATTTTTTCCCAGTGTCAAAACTCCATATATCCAGTTTTTACTGCCGAACCGTGTGGGTTGTCCCTTATTTTCTTTAAGTTTCTCTATTAGGGGCTGCAGTTTATATCATTTATTGTGGTTGCCGTTTTGACTGTTGTTTTTATAATGTAAATTCCTCCGAATTGTTTCAAATCTGTTTAGTCTCCTGCTTTTTGATTTTTTGGCACATCGTTTTCATTTGTATAGTATGGGTGTTTATTTGGTTATTTACCGTATTCAGAGAGTAGAAGACCTCCAAAAATGACAAGTAATTCGCTTCTTGTCATGGTCAAAATATTGTTTTTTTTTTTGCTGAGCATATACGTTTTTTTGCTTTTTGATATTTCTATGGGTGTCTTTTTTCCATTAACTAGATCACGATTCTTGACACTTTAGTTCTGCAGAATATCAATCAACTTGCCGCTCTCAACATTACTTTCTTCCAATAACAATGTTCGATAAAGTGGGTTAATGGAACTAACTATATGTTTTTTAATAATTTTATTATGCTTAGTATTAGCAAGAATATAAAACACATAGGAGTTATTTCAAATACAAATCATAAATTTAATTTTTTTATCAAAATAAATTTGTGTGTGTGTGCATAAAAAACGCGCATTATACACTCCCCCTATATCCAATTTCTAATAAATGTCATATTCTGCGACAGCATGAGCCACAGCGGAAATCAATGCCATTCTTGTGTGATAACTGAAGTGTATTAGCAAAACTCGTAAAAAAAAATTAAAGATATATGCTTTGTATTTGAAAGACCTCTTACGTGTTAAGGCATACAGGGTATTCTATAAAAAACAACAACGAGAGACGAGTTTCAAAAGGAATTTGATTACACCATTGGATCTTACGTAAAGAACCCTGTCCAGACCACCTTTTCGATAAACGAACTACAATGAGTGTCTAAAAATGCAAAATTTCCACAATAACCTTGTATCTAAAAATCCAAGGTGGCTATGACATTTTTGTTTGTGTCACCTTTAATTAAACTGATCAAAAAGGGAGATAGATACGCCGTCAAATCTTTAAAAATGGGACAGCCTGTATATGGGTGTGTAAAATAAGGCGGGCTTATAAAATGTTTGCTACCTTTTTAGGTTACGTTACTGGTGGCGCTGCGGTGCCAGTTGACGTCATCCCTTTAAATGTCAATAAACTGAACCTTGAGAAATCTGGAATGTCGACATTGTTAAATATTTATTAATTATATTAAAAATAAGTTTCCAGATCACACATTTTTTGTTTTTCGTGTTGAAGGATTATCTTTTTTTTTTCATTTTGCCTGTTATCAGTCATTTCTATGGTACCAAAATATTGACAAAGGAGTGGTATGGGAACATAGGCTAGTGTTACGCCAGTTAACGATCATGTGACAAACTTGGACTGTTCTAACCAGTTCCTCTTGGCTTTACTCACCGAATCCGATGAAACGTCGTCGCCATATCCGAAGATGTTTGTTAACGGTTAACTAGTTGACGTTTCGTCGAATTTAGTTTAATTTATGTGTGTACAAAATTTGGTTGGATTATCGAAGGAAAGAAGACTGAAATTTACGAAACAAGATCTGTTATTAGAAAGAAGGACGGGAGAATGCACTAAGGTTTTTTTTTCGCGGATACGTAACGCCTGTATTTAGTGTAAATAGCGAACATTTTTATCCGTTTTTACCCAAACTAATTTTTTCGTAGGTTGAAAAAAATAACTCAGAGATAAAATGCCTATTATATGAGCTTTAGGGGTTAAGATACATATTTATTGTATATTTTTAGGGTTCCATTGTGAGCGTTGCGGAAATATTTTGTACAGATTTTCGTTCAATAATATTTTGTAAGTACCAAGTTCGTTAGTATTAATACCACTTATATTGGTTTTACTTTAAATGTGAAGTTTTTTTATTGTATATAAATAAGGTGTAATAATTTTCGTCGAGATAAGATAAATACAAAAAGTTTTAAAATGGTTTTCATTTCAGTTTTTGAATTTAACAATGTCGTCGTCGGTGCTCAGCCCCAAAGGATTGTTGAGCACAGATTTCAAACACTTATTATGGCAACGCCAAAAAATTCAGTATCGATACTTTGCTGAAAACTTAATATTTGTAGCCCAAAAAAATCAGTATCGATACTTTGCTGAAAACGTCTTAATATTTGTGGGTAATGTTTCGATTTTCATTCAAATTAAAAATATTGACAAACCATCATGATCTCTGTTACTAGTCTCTAATAAGTAAATGTCGCAGAAACAATCGTTTAAACTAATTGGCAAATTTCGACAGTTGACGTCACAATAGTATGGCGAATAAGGCATTACAAAAACAGCTAATCAATATGTTTTTTTTAAATTCAAGTTTATTTTTTGTTTTTCGGAAAGGAGACCTCGTCCTAGACACCAGTTTGTCGTGTAGTGAAAAATATATAATAATTCGTAATTCCAAACATCCACTTTTATTTTCATGGAGGTTGTTCGTTAGGTTTTGATTTAAACCTCTTATTTATTTTTATATATAGGGTTTTCGGCTTCAGGTTTCATGAATTTTCTTTACAAATAGAATATCTTTTGTTTTTTTTTTTTAGTTTAATTCTCATACTACTAGCAGTTCCTATCTCATTGCTGCTTTTCATATCTAAAGAATTCGTTATTTTTGATCAAATGAGTGATACAGTTAACCGATAAAGGGCGAAGGTCATCAAACAGCGCGTTTTTGATTTAAATTGACGCTCTCGCGCATTGACCATCAAACTAACACATACCGACTTCCGGGAGCGCAACAACTTTATTTTTCGAAAACATAAATGGGCTAAGATCTCTCCATCTCGGGTCACGGATTGTTACCATAGCGGCATTGGTAAGTCCCTTACACCTTTCTAATAGCCATATCACTCATAGATTATATTGATTTTGATTTGGTAACTGCCACTCTACAAAAGTAATTTCATTCAAAAAAATAAGTAAATTAAAGAAAAAAGTTGAAATACAGTCCACTAGACAATCCAAATAATGCGCTATCGAGGTGCTTAATGCAATGAAATAAAAACTTACACTCCCGTAACATAAAAATTAGGTATTTTCAATATTGTTTATAATTATCTAATTGTGGAATCCACTTTCTTTGGCCTCTCATTAAGGGTATCTTAATTCACTTGTCCTATGGATTACTGCACAACTACTGCTAAAAAGTTCATTTAGAATAATTTGTGCCATTTTTCTTCTTTTTACTCATCCATGTTACATACTATCTTGTTGAAGTTAAATTGCTGATTGCCTCGTATTAGATTCAATAAAAGCGTGCCTCACATAGCTATACCTGTCTCAAAAAAAGAATATATATACATATTAAAAAATGCTTATGTAAGAAAAAATAATTTTATTTTAAACTTGTACTTAAAAACTGCACAAATAAGTCCGCAACATCTTTTTCTTCTGGAGGGTGCATTTTGGAGTATGTAAGGTATTGTCTTCTTAAAAGCATAAGTTGTTGTGCATTCGTTTCCGTAACATTTAGGGTTACGCCTTCATACCCCGGGAGAGTTATTTCACCGCTGCATCCACTATTTTTTATCTTTATTAAATCGTCAACAATTTGTTTAGTAATTTTATCTAGGTCATACAAAAAATTTGTTGAACTTAGCGGAGGATTTTGTGTGGACATATTCGGCTTCGGTGGTGGTTTTTTAAACAAACTCGAGTAAATAGCTTCACTATCAAGCTCATTCTCTGGGAAAACAGTAAATAATGGACTGTCCCAGCGATTTTTCGGATCTGGGTCTTCGTATCTCATTATCAATGCGTCAAAAATGTCTCTGCTGTATTTCTCTTCTTCCTGTTCTCGATTGGTATTAAAATTCCAAGCTTCGTCTCTGTTAATTTCCGCGTGAATGGTGCACTGAGTACATTTGTTCGCCTTAGTGCCACAATACAGCTCATATCGATATCCTTTGATGTAATTCAATGCATCCAGAATAACGACATTTGTAGAATTAATAAATTTCAACACTTCAGATTTCAACAATCCCCTAATGTGTTTCTCTTTATTAGAGTCTGCATAAAAGGCATTCTTCTTGAAATCTGCTTTTACAATTTGTTGATATTCGCTTACAATAAAAACCTCTTTACCTTGTGCCTCGAAGAACTGCTTCAATTGAATTGATCTTGTAGTTTTCCCGCTACATGGAACCCCTGTAATCACTATTAGAGGCATATTTTCTATTTAAAAAATCCTCCCATTCCAATTTGATTTTGGGTTAGGGACACAAATGCTTTTATCTTCTTCATTTTCCAACTGCGGGTAAATTTGCTAGAGGCATATGCCCATTACCGACATCCCTAAAAGTTTGGTCATATTTATCGTATATGAGAGTATTTAATAACAATAATTTTAAAGTTTTACATTGTTTATTGATTAAATCGAAGAAAGTTTGATAACGCTATGCAACTTTAATTTAGTTGGCAATTGTAGTTAAAAATTCCCCATCTACTATATATGTAAACTTCAGTATTTCTCAATGGCTAATATTGATTATAAGAAATAGCCCAAGGTATTGCGTGAAGAAGAAAAATGAAACTGACGTGTTTTTTGTTATCAGCTGACTGTCAGTTTTCATGTTTTCAAAAGCTTTTACTTTATCTACCTAGATTTGATTATTTTTTGTAAAATTTCAGTATGTCTTTGGAAACAAAATACAATTTGAAAAGCCCAGGTAAGACTCCTAACGAATTGATGTTTTCAAAAGACTTATTGTTGAAGGTGTTAAACGTCTCATGAGGGAGGCAAAAGAATTGGCAAATGCTACAGAGGAATATTATGCATGTCCACTAGATGACAATCTGTTCGAATGGCATTTTACTGTCAGGGGTCCCTCTGGTACAGAATTTGAGAGTGGGTTTTATCATGGCAGAATTTTGCTACCTTCTCAATACCCTATGCAACCTCCAAATATCATATTGCTGACAGTAAGTGTTTGTCCTCATCATGTGAGGAATTTTACTTTATATTATTTTAAGCCAAATGGTAGATTTGAAATCAATAAAAAAATATGCTTATCAATATCCGGACATCACCCTGAAAGTTGGCAACCATCCTGGTCTATAAGAACGGCCCTGTTGGCTCTTATAGCGTTTATGCCTACCCAAGCACAGGGCACAATTGGTTCTTTGGAATATACAGCAGAAGAAAGGCAAGTTTTGGCCAAAAAGTCAAGAAACTGGGAGTGTTCGATATGTGGAAAAATTTCGGATCAATTGGGCAATGGAGAGAATAATGCTAGTCCCATGTTGACCCAGGAAGAAAGTTCTATGATCCAGAATATTGCATTAAAGGTACTCTATTATATTAATTTGGCATTTTGGATAGTGTTAGATAGTAAGTTTTGATGTAGGCAGAGGAAGAAGTCAATCGTAAAGAAGTAATTGAATCTAAGACCATGGCGCACGATTCATCTAATGGTTTAAATCAGCACGAACATGAAATAAGACAAAGGATAAACTCTGATCAGGCTAGATTTGCTGAAAATAACACTGAAAGCAACAATGAACAAAGTATGACTGATCAACTCTTACAGGAATCTATAAAAAAAAGTAGGAGGTAAGTTTTTCTATTATTGTGGTTTTGTCAAAATTTTGTTCAAACATTTTTTTTAGGGATAAGTTTTGGAAAACTGTTACCTGGATCATTATTTTGACAATAGTAGTTCTGGTAATACGAAGAGTTTTCTTCCTGTAGCCACGTGTTCTTCTAATATATATTTTTTATTTGGAAAATATAACTTATGAAATAATGCAGTTCAAATGATTTATCAAGGCTTTATAGATAATTGTCCAAAAGTATTTTGATGTAAAAAGAAATAGTTGTTAAAGCATAATTTAGCTGTTAGTTTTTAGTATTTTATTTTCATCATCCATGAAGGTTTTGTAAAATATATTTTTTGGAAAAAATGTTTTATTATTATGAGGTTGCCTAGCAATAAACAAAGGTCTCTTTTTTTGCACTATAGTTTGCTGTAGTCCTTGTGATGTTATTTTGTAGACCCAATTTTTATTTAAAATTTGACAATTCGGGACTAATCAGAATATTACGCAGGGCGTTCCCTGTTACAAGGATTCAAACCTGGTTTAAATAACTCAAGTACTTAGCACAAACTGTTTTGTTTTGTTTGTTTTTGCCTGGTGGTTGTATTTAAATTTATGTCCAAATTATGTATAAATAAATTTAAATAATTCAATTTATTTTAGGATTTTTAAGTATTTATTTGTGTTGGACCTTCGTTTTATTTCTGGTTAGTTCTGTTTAGTGTTAATTATTAATTAATTAACAATCATTTTATCTGAAAATCACGTTAACAATTCGCTATCCTTGATATTTATAAGCATGCTAAGTAAATTTACATAGAAGTCTTTGAAACCCATTTATTGCGCACTGTCAAACAAACCATTGACATTTCAAAGTCGTGAAATTTAATTTGAAGTTGTAAAAAATACGTAAACGAGAAAGGAAAAGTTATTTAGAGTATGTAAACGCCTGATAGAGGACGCCGGCAGAAAAACAGTTTTTAAATTAGAATTTTGCTTGATGACATGATACATTTTTCCTATACTTTTTCTTGTATTTTTTATTTATTAAAAATTATTGTTTTGTAATGTTAATATATATATATATATATATATATATATATATATATATATATATATATATATATATATATATATATATATATATATATATATATATATATATATATATATATATATATAAATGTCTACCCTCCAGTGAAGGAGATTATGTTCAAAAATTAATGTTGTAATTATTAATTTGCAATAAACACGCTTTGAATTTCGTTGATAAGGAAAAAATGTAAACCAGGGCCTTGAAAATAAATAGTAAATCATGAAAATTTCTACAAAGTTGTCTTTAAAAATTACGGCTTCAATTAATTTAAAATACCAATTAATCCCAAAAGTGAGTTGCATTATTTTTTATTCTATTTCATTTATATGTCAAACCCAAAAAACATATTTATATGTACTCTGTATCAATAATAATTTGTATTTTTTTTATTATGAAATAATTTTAAAAATAAATTAATTACAGTAATATACAGTAATATACAATACGGTATATACAACTATCTTAAAAGTTATTGTTTAGCACTCCTTTATCTACTTATGGACTGCTTCCTCTTCTGTGGCACACGTGATCAATGTGACCTCCTTCTATAATATAAGGTCCTTTCCTGAACGTGCCGTAACCCTCAGATGAACCGTCCGGTATATCCGTGTTCATAACCATCTGCTGTGCCAAAGGGTTAATAGGAAAACTGTGCCTGTGATGATGGTGGTGATGGTGGTGGTGGTGGTGGTGATGCGGGTGACCATTTCTCACTTCCAGAGAATCCATCAGGGTGGTTTCGGTTAGAGTTCCGTTACCGACGTCATATTTCTTGACGTTGTCACTGATGTAATACAACTCCTGATAGTGACTGCCGTTACTGAGCCGGTTAATGACGTTATTGTTCTGTATGGTGTCCGTTTTATAGTAGACGCCCGGCACGGGGGTGGACGAGAGGTCGCTAGCGGCCTTTTTGGCGTTTTTCTTGATGGTTTTCGTATAGTCTTTGGTGCCACGACGTTTCAAAGTGAAATCTCGCTCACCGCTTTGGGTTTTCGTATTCCATTGGACCCAGTTGTGACGTAACATCGGGTCCTTCGGGCCCCAGTTGTGGGACGGTTCCAACGACGCTTTGAGTTTCTGAAATAGCAATGTGTCTAACATTAGCAACGGTAGATAACACAGGCAACAGGCAGACATAAAATGGCTGAATTTAGGTGATGAATTGTAAATTCACTTCTAAATATATGTTTTTTAATTAAATTATATAGTCTATAGAAAATAGGATTTTAAGTTTCAAGCTTAAAGGAAGTTTATATTTATAGTTTATGAAACTAAGAACTAACTTTGAAGGTTAAGAGTGTTTTTAACTTAAAATCTTTAATTAAAAAAAAACAGTAGGGGAGCGAGGATGGCTCGGTTGGCAAGGCGTTAGACCTGCCAACTCGACTTGCCGGAGGTTGTGGGTTCGATTCCCTTGGGTGTATTTTGTGTTTATCCGATTTTAACGACTGGCAAAAATTGCCTAATTTACTCATTGATATATGGAATAACCTGGGCAGCCCTTTAAGTAAAGACGCGAGCTCATTATATAATAGAAAAAAAAAATAAAATTATTTGTTCAATAAAAATAAAATTTAATTGAAGTAAAAATTATTTCTGTATGTTTAATTATTGTAATAGGCAGGCTGACGCGAATATAAGTGAAAATTGTAATTCTAGTTGATAAGGGTAAATAAACTTAGTATACAAAAAATGAATAATAAATCGTTTATGAAATAAGCATATAAGAGGAGGGAATTCTCAGAGATAAAAAAAATTAATGAAAAAATCAATTTAATTATTTTAAATTTATTTAGTGTTTGGTATAATCGAGTTATAATTGTTACTATAAAAAATTATAATCATTTTAACATATAAAATTAAGTTTATAAGAAAGCATGTTATAGAAATTTGTCTATTCATTAATCTGGCATTAATTAATAATTATAAGAAGTTAGAATTAAAGGGGACAATTTTTTTTTTGTTATTAGAATAAGAGAATTAAATCAATTTAATCCTCTAATAATATCAGGGAATCAAAAGTGGAATTATTTAATAATCATGAGTAATATGAAGGTATAAATAATATAATAAAATATTTTAATGTTCTTTTTTAATTAAAAAGAGAGAATAATCTTATTGTTGTGGTCTGAACCCAAAGTTTTTTATATATAGGAATGTTTACTTAGTGATAATTGTATTCAGTGATAGATTTATTTGAAATATTATATGTTTTGTTACGAACTAAGGTTCCTAGGCCAACTTCAAACCCCAGATTGAGTTCATGTCTGCGATTTTCCGCCCATATTAGGAATTTTTTATACAGAATCTAAAAACGCTCTTAGATTTTGCCTATCACATCTAGTTATATTATTATATTTATCAATTTGTATTTTTAACATGTATAATTTGACGCTATAACTGTTAAATAACTATTGCGGCTTAAATGAAAAAACAGAAACACATGGAATTAATTGCTAACCAACCAACTAACCGAAACTAGTCATTCATCAGTTAAAAATTTGCTAGAAATCATGCTATCATGTGGCAATCGCATAGTCCTTGATAACGATCTTCTATAGTTTTAAAGTCCCCCTGTTCTCTCACTACAATCACACGTTCCTAGAAACCGATTTAGATCTAGGCATTAAATTCAATTTTATATGTTAATGTGGCGAATTCTGAACCTTGAACAAGTTGCCCTATTTGAGGAATGTTAAACATACCAGCTTTTTGTATAATTTTGAAGGCAACTCAAACTGATGTTTTTCGAATTCAGTTTATTCCAAAACTAGTGTAATTGTTTCACATTCCTCACTCATGGTGAAACCTTTGAACTTCGTCAGACATGATGTCGACTGCTGAAGAAGAAAAAGGGTATTTCTTCCGATTGCATTTCCTCTTTCCATTTGTTCACTGTCCCAATGATTGCACAACTTTGCTTTCAAGAACTCAATAATATACTAAATCGAGTACAACCAAGATACTATGTTTCTAATATTAATTTTCATTGAGGCTAAGAAGAGTGGATTACTTAGTATAAGTAGTATATTAAGCATGGATTATAGGACGTACAACATAATCATGTGTATATTTTTTACTTACGTCGGTAAGAGTATAACCGTCCTGTTGGGAAACTACGTAGAGGCCCACAACGAAAATGAAAATGAACGCCGTGAGTACCACCGCCCAGCCGATTCCGTATAACCAGGACGGATCTTGTTTGTAAATGCCCTCTAGCGGTAAGGTGGCCAAGCCCCAAGTGAATATAACCATTAATAAACCGGGTATTAGCCGCCACAACGCTAACCAGATTTTCCAAAGGATGTGGCCGAGCATGAATTCAAAGTCGGACAGTATTCGTCCCGTACCTGCAGTAAATAAAATTGTAACGCCATTTCTCGTATCCGTTTCACTCACCATAAAACGCGATGAACGCTAAGACTTCTAAAATTACACATATCAATATCAAATTTCCCACAATGTAATGGTCCAGGAGGTGAACAAGATCGAAATCTGGTTGCAGCAACCAGAGGCATCCCAGCACGAAGCCCGAGAGGCTTAGTATTATGCTGGTATGCCACCATCTCAGCTGAATTCCATCGTGACCGTGGATTGCTTTCAGTAGTGTGTATGAAAGAGTTGCCTAAAAATAGAAAAAATAGAAAATATATGTTCGGAGTACAGTTACAGTTTTGAAGCATCCTAGTTTACTGGACGACAGTGAATGTGCAATTCTAGTCCAGTTTTTTTCCTTTAATCTTTTGCAGTAGGTATGAGAGAGCTACGAAGTTTTTTTATGGACGTGTTTGTTGATGTGGTAAAGGTTTCAGATATATTAGAAATACATTATATTTGTAATAAATAAAATTAGTTGTAATGCAGTTTTAGTGCTTGCTGACAAATTTTCATAAAAGCTTGTGTTCTGTTTGACTAATACGGCTGTTGTCTTTAAATTGTTAAAGTGTTTTGTTTATTCATTTTATTCGTTTATTATTTAGTATATTTGCAGATCATAATTTTTGTAAAAAGATTGTGCTTGTTTTCAATGCATAAATATATAGTATGCCGTGATTGAAAATAATAATAATAATAACAATAATAATAATTCTCTTTGAGAATTAAACTACATTCAGAAATATACATGATGCACACGATATGGTACAATATTCTCAAAGGACGATGTCTAGCTCACTAATAATTGGTTAGTTTGTATCCCAATCACGATATATTTCCAAAAGGCAAATTAGTTATTAGCTTTTCGAAACCTGGGAAGGAGGACAATAGTTTTTGTTAGTTCTTCCTAATTCCTAACGGTATTAAAATAAAGTGATCTTCAGTTTGAACAACACCTTTAAAATTTTATTTTAAGTAAAATTATTTTTTTATTGTTATATTTTATTTTATTTATTTTATGTTTATATACCCATTAAAGTTGGCTTATGTATTCAGAAAGCTATTCTCCGTTGGTTTATTTAACTGTCAATTGTTTATTGTTGTTATTGATTATGGCTTTAGTTTTTGAAAATTATAATTTTTTTCGGGTATGTTTGTGAATAAATGTTATATATTCACATATTTATAAATTTTATGGTATGTAATTATACATGGTGTTCTATTAAAACAATATTCTACGCCACTGCATTTTATCGAAAAATCTATAAGAATATGCGAAAGGCAGAGAGCCCCAAAATTTTCAAAATAACCCTTTATCTCAAACTCAAAAATAGTTCACAACTAAAGATCTGTTAAGATCTAACAAGAAGAATAGGGATGTACGGTAGGAGCCAGTTTAAATATGACATTTTGTATATCTCGTCTCAAGAGCTTCTGAAAGAAATTTGGATAAAGTTGAGAAGCTTTGGAGATGGTTTAAATATTCTGGAAAACAGATTTTTAGATTATTGTGGCTATGATGTTATTTTTGGAGGGGATCTGAACATGGATTTATTATCAGACCGGACGAAAAATAGCTTTCCAACTAGATTTTATACAATATACTTGAATTACTGAAAGTTATAATTTGAAACAGCTAATAGCAACACTAGAATAATTGATGATATTTGATCATTTTCTGGTTTACATTGATTTTAATTTAAAAATTCTAGCACAAAATTCGATGGTCACAGTTCATAGTTTATATGATATAGATCTTGATTTGCTAAACAATTTCTTATTTCTTATGCTCGAAAATATTGTTTACATACATGACATTAATACCACAGTAATAATCAAAAGGCTGAGTTCAAAAACTTCTTACATTTTCGTACAGTGGACGAAAATACTGTAAAAAAATACGTGCTTGAAGTAAAATCTTGTGCTATTGGTTATGACCAATTAAATATACACATGATTTTATTAACACTGCCAAACAAAAATAATATTTCATCTGTCAATGAGAAGAGACCAGTGTTTTGCCCGTACTATCGAAGCTCTTGAAGAGGATCATGTATAGTCACATAAGGGAACACTTTAGATGTCTATAGGCTACTTCCAGAAACTCAGTCAGTCAGTTTTATAACACTATTAGATGTTACAGGTGAAATCCTGAGGGGGTTGGATAATAATAAGTGTAGATAAATCATAAAATGTTATTGAAACAGAGAAAGGTACAACGACAATCGATATTGGGATCCGTTTTGTTAGTATATATATATCATCATTACCAGATTGCTTAGAATTTTGCTGGACCAATTTCTATACGGATGATGAACCAGAAGCTGTCGGAATAAATAAAGATTTACAAAATATTATACGCTTCGCAAGTCAACACTAACTAGAAATAAATGTTACCAATTGTGTATCTTAATCTTTGGTTAGTTTAGAATTATTTGTACCAAATGAAAAAATAGAATCAACCAAAGAAGTCAGAAAATTGGGAGATATTATAGACAAAAATTTGAGATTTAAATCCCATGTCAGCAAATGCACACAGAAGGGTTATACCAATTTAAAGATGTTGTGTCCGTTTTGAGCACATGTGTCAAATTGAAGCTTACTGATTGGCTTGTCTTAAGCTATTTCACCTATGTGTTGGAAATAATCTCAATGAATGGCTAAGTGGCTATCTCTGGAAAAAAGACGTCGTTTCACACAATGTGTTTGTACCACTAAATAATCCAGAATAAGTGCCTTAATATACAATATGAGAAATTATTCCGAATCCTGGAAGTTGGGTCGATTGGTTTCGATCAGTTAGTAATATAGTAACAGGTCCTGCAAGAATAGGTAAAGAAAGAAGTAGTAAAAGAGTTCAGTAAAATAGTTCAGGTAAAAAGAGTGATTTGATCTATAGGTATATTATGATGTTATATATTAACAATTGTTGAAATAACCTGCCTCTATGAGCAATATTGGATACTTATGTTTTTGCATTTGCACTTTCTCTGTTTTTGTTTTTGATCTTTTTTAAATTGTTTTCTGACCTTTTTTACAAATACATTAAAATGATTTTCTTGTATTGAGAAACCCCGTATTTCTTGCAAATAAACCCTTTATTTATTTAGTATATTATAAATGCAAATTTTACACACCAGTTCCATTGGGCATGGGTGGAGCGCAGCGGAGCGAGTGCTTAATAAACGTTAAACTGACATGTTGTCAGAATTGACAAACTTCAAAATACTAGTCTGAACCTTCGCAAACGCGTGATTAAAGTTCGGGAAACGTCCGAAGCGACTCTCGATAGTGGTTAACGAAGTTGACGTTTTATGCTTATTCCATGCATAAGTGGGGAGTAGAAAAATGTATTTACAGCATTTAAATTGTCGCTGCCCAACTTACCATACTGATGAGTCCCGAAAAAAAAACGAGCCCATAGAAAGCGATCATCCAAAACCTGAAAGTGCCGTCCACGTTTTCCCTCATGGCGTCGTAAGTTAAAGCGAAAAGCTCCACTTCGGCAATGCCGCTGCCTTCGGATGACGTGCCGTTGATATTACCGGTCAGAATCGTCGATATGATTACGGTACCAGCGCCGAATAAAATATTCGCGAAAATATAGCCCAGCGCTATCCTGCGGAAATAAAAAATAGTGATTCGTGAAAATTCTACCGTTAGCAGTTTAGATTTCAGTTTTGGTTAGTTTTTTTTTTGAAATATTGATTCAGGTGGCCAATAGATGTAGAGTAGAGATGCTCTATCATTGTAAAATACTTTCAAAAAGTTGCAACATCTTGTTCAGTTCTCTTACGTCTTTAATATAAAAAAAATATTTTTCATGATTTTTGCCTAATATCAAATTAAACACAAACATTTCGAAGGAAGCTTCGCATATAGACAGAATCAACTTCGTAAAACCTCATTTTTATTTAAACAAAGAGAAAAAACACAAGAAAAAACAAAAGAGAGAGAGACAAAAAACATTGAAACCATTTTTTGTCCATCTCTGCCACATTTTGTTTCATCTCTCAATTGATCTCCGTCTGATATCAAATCTTAATATTAATTTCGTTTTCTTGATTGGTCGCAGGTTTTGGCAAATTCCATAACTCTTCATTTAATTTATAAAATTATTTTCAAATTTTCTAAACCACTTGTTATTCTTTTTACAACACTTCTGGATTCCTGATGCGTCACTTTTTGCTGAGTCGAATTTGCTGACGTTTCGCCAATCATCCTTTTGGCTTCTTCAGAGCTTGACTGAAACTGGCTCGCATTTTACTCTGTACTGTTGTATTGTTTGGTTGCTTATAGATTTCTATAGATTCTCGGATTTTTCGTTTTTAGAAGGATTGATTACTCTGCAAGAATTTTAGTTTCATCGAATAAAATTTTATGTCCGATTTCGTCATTGTGTTCAGCAACTGCTGATGAGTTTATTTATCTTAGTCTTAAGGCTCTTTCATGTCCTTGAGTCTAGTTGAGATTTTTCGTCCGGTCTCTCCAATGAATTTTTTGCAGTAAACGGAATTTTGTCTTTGACGGATCGAAGATGTTGAGAGATTTTTGGATTTGGGTGAGGTGATGGAAAGCTTAATATTTCTGATTTGGAAATTATTACAGAGAAGAGCAGATGTAAGGTGTTTTAATTCTGGGCTCGTAACTGTAAGGCTCTGTAAACAAGACAGTGGATAACCGGTGATTTAAGGTACAGGTCTGTGTGCCTAGGTTTTCTGTAAACAGAATCACATAATCTTAGATCTGATTTTCTATTGATAAGAATATCTAAGAATGTCTAAGAAAATTTTGCAGGGATTCTTGACCATGAGGTCAAATAACAAAAGTACCATCAACGTAGCGGTTCCATAAGTTTGATTTTTGAATGGAAGGTGTCGAGAGCTTTTTTCTCAAAGGTTTCCATAAATGTATTTACGATGACTGGTGATAATGGAGAACCCGTTGTTGTTCCCGGCGATTGTTCATAAATTTACCCGTTATAAGAATAATGTGGTCCAGACAATTAAGATGAAAAGTCCACTTTATTTGTTGAGTAGAATCTATTTAAACCAGTCGTTCTCAATATGTTTTGTGTCGTAGACGCCTCGGCACTTTGCTCGGTTTTGAGTATACCCCCTGCTTACATAATATTGATTATTTGTAAATTTCTAACTGTAGTGAAGTTTAGTGTTAAAAACTTAACATGTTAAGTTTTATACATTTATTAATTTAATTTAAATTAATTCAATTAATAATCGAAATAAAACTTCCTCTCTGTTTATAAAATATACGTAATTTAAAATAAAGTAAGGCAATAAGTGAACGTTTTTTGTGGGATGTCTGTTTCTTTTTTCGTTAGGAGATTGGTGATAGCGCTGAAGCTTTTTTCCACAAGGTATGAAGGAAAGGAAAGGAAATTATAAATTTTTTCGCAGTATTCCATAATACCGGATAAGTAACATGAACTGAACTTTAAGTTTTTCGTGTGTACTTAATTCAATCAGTGTTCTGGGTTAATTATCCACGGTGGTATTACCATAGTCAAAACATCCTCAAACCGAGTTTCAAAATCTGAATAAAGGACATTTATATGTTGAACGTAGGTTCCAATGTGGTTTTCCTGGCAGCTTATCTGAACTGCGAAAACTCGTCTCTTCCAATAATTTGCTTCATTCGTTTAACTCTGACAAGAAACGCTGATAAGATAGACTTTGTTTTAATTAGGGTTAGACTGTCTGTAACTGCAAATTAACCATATTAAATTTGGTAAATAAATCTGTTAAATACGCGACGTTTGTTTTCCGTTTTATTAAATTTCCTTTTAATTTTTTTGATCTTTAGTATCCAGAAATTCTAAAATAATCTCAAAAAGTGCAACAAATCTTGTCAAGCATAAGCCTTTCGACAGTCAGCGTACTTTAGTCTGAAAGAGTAATTGACGAAAGTGTTCGTCATTTTCTTCACACAACTGCGCAAATAACAGTCCTTCTCACATTCCTATTTATAAAGTGACGAATTGAAAAAGTCTATGCAAGTTCGCGAAGCTCTGAGACAAAAATTTACAAGAATGTTTACTGCGCGTATGTTTGTAACAACATGATATAAACAGAAATAATAAACTTTACTTGTAGGTACTTTTATACATAATGTCTTTATATTATAACATTGTATAATGCAAGCATGGACCCTCATTTTTTTTTTCGGCTAACGTACAATCCTTGCAGGTTGTCATAGACCCCTGGGGGTCGATATAGACCACTTTAGGAATCACTGGTTTAAACTGAGCAAGGTGTTGACACATTTATACACTATCAGACAAAAGTAGAGCAACATCTTCAAAAATAAGATATATTTAACACAAGTCCCAACATTATGATTATACATGCAAGGTATTGTAGACAAATACAATACATTTGTATGTTATGCTCCTTTATGCAGAGTGGGAAATGCCGTTACGTTTTATTTTCCAACAGGACAAACAAAACACTCTTCACAACTCGTTCAATAGTGGTTTGCAGAAAACAATGTTCGTACACAAATGTTTCCAAATAAACAATTGTTAATAGATAAAATTAATGAAGTTTGGACAAATCTTCCAGAAAATGTCACTCAAAAGTTGATAGAGTCACCTGCCGTTGCCAGCAGGTAATTCTCAATAATCGATATTTTATAAATTATTAAGGCATAATTTTAATTATTATTGTACTAAAATGTGTGTCTAATGTTTTTTTTAAATACAATACAATACAATATTGTTAAATACAACTTTTTGAAATAAAATAAAATAAAACACTGTTAAATACAATTTGTTGCTTTACTTTTGTCAAATTTTATATTAATTATTTCACCAACTAACTTAAGGTACACCCAAAATGTTGTGAAAAATTACTTGCTAGGCAAGGAAAGTATTTTATCAAAACTAGCAAAAAATATGAAGCAATTTTTTTTTTATTTAAAAAATACTAAAAAAATATGTTTGTTGCTCTACTTTTGTCCGATAGTGTACATAAGGCTCAATACTGCTTACCCTGCGCAATTTAATGTAAATAATATGATCCGTTCGCCATAGGCCATCCACTGTGGACCACCTGGTATTTGAAATTTTATTTTATTCTTTTATTCGCTAAGTGATTAAATATTTCAACAAAAAAAAACCAAAATGAACAAAAAACGAAATATTCTTAAAGTCCCTGAAATCACACGTTCCACGTCTTAGACATTAATTAATTCGTTCTAATTGTTTATTGTTGCCGCGGTTTCTATGAAATTATAAAACTTATAACTTATTCCGCCGCAAATCGTATATAATTGTCTTACTTTCAACTGTTTTAATTGATATAATTCTAAAATTCTTGGAATACGTTGTTGTTATGGTGTCGAGTTATTGTTTTCTCGCGTGTTTACGAAATTGCGAATAACTTACGACAGCGGATTCACTTTGTGGTACAGTATGCCCGCGTTGGTTATGAAGGAGCCGAAACCGACGTTGGTGGAGAAAAATACCTGGATCGTTGCGTAATACCATACCTGGAACAAAAATTTTCCCGTCAAATTTCCTACAAGCACGGTACAAGCACTTAACTATATGATGGTCTTTCGCGTAATGGGGGTGTCATGTTAGCAGTTAAGATTGGTTTTAGAGCAATTGCTGTATATTTAAATATGATTTGGAATAATATCAGTGTAGTAGATCTGGTGAGTGGTACATTTATTCTGGATTATACAAGAATTTATGTTTTTGTTTTTTTGAGCAATTTGAAAATAACATGAGTTTTGTTTATCAATAGTCAAGTCATTATTTTGCGTGACTTCAATGCTCCTCTATTTAGCATGGATAGTTAAAGTGATTATAAGATAGAATTAATTAATAGTTTTATGAATTTCCTTAGCTTTTATCAACTTAACAGCATTTTAAATAGCGATAACAGACCACTTGTTTTAGTTGTGTCCAATATCAAGTCACAAAAAAGTCCATTCCACAAGTTGCGAAAGATCCATACCATCCTGCGTTGAATGACTCTCAACTGTCAACAATACGTGCGGATATTAAAATAATGATTGATGTCGCATATAGAAACTACATCTTTAAGCCCGAAAATGCAGTCACAGAGGATCCCACTTCTTTCTGGTCATTTGTTAGTTCTAAACGCACAAATACAGAATTGTCAGACATTTTCACTTACAGGGAAGAGAATTACACCAACCCGGAAGAGATTGTTAATGCTTTTGCTAAGTTTTTTCGGGTTATATAATACTCCTCAACAACAGATCCCTCAATTGAATGGATTTTCTAATGCATTTATTACTGTTGATCACTTAACTATATTATGACTATATTAAAAGCATTAGCACGAGTTAAGAACAAAGTACCTTGTGGTCCTCATAAAGTTCCTTGATTCGTTGTGTGAGATTATGCACATGCTTTGGTTAAACCCATGTCTCTTATTTTTATCTGCTATATCCAACTACAGGCCTGTATCGATATTATCGCCTTTTGCGAGGGTTTTCGAGATGTCGCTGCGTAATAGTATTTTCAACCAAATGAAACACCCACAAACAACATGGTTTCTTTAAAGGTCGAAGCACCATCAGTAATTTGGCTTGCTTTACAGAATTCACAGCTAGGGCTTTGGACGACGGGAGGTGGGTGGATGTCCTATACACGGGTTTTTCAACCGCCTTTGATCGGGTGGACCACACTGTACAGCTCTCTAAACTGAGGATGCTTGGATTTTGTGAGGACCTTCTGGTATTTATAAAATCATATCTGCATAACAGAATATAGTATGTGGAGCTCCACAGTCACGCATCGCTTGTGTTCATGGCTAGTAGCGGCGTTGCCCAGGGTGGCAAATTAGCGCAATTGAAATTTTTGCTTTTCATTAATGATATAGTAGCTAATATTGATAGTCAAAGTTTGCTCTTTGCTAATGATGTGAAATTGTTTAGAATAATTGATAGTGTGGTCGACTGTGTGTCTCTGCAGAATGATTTGGGGATTATTGATTCTTTTGCAAGTACATCACTAGGGCATTGCCACAGAGTTTAAGGTACCCTCACTGTTGAATCGTAGGAGGTACCTTTCATTTCAGTTTTTATATAAACTGTGCAATTCATTAGTGGATTGTTCTGAGTTGCTGAGCCAGCTGAACTTCCATGCTCCTTTAAGAACTATAAGGGCGTCACCTGTATTTCACCCAGTAACTCCACTTTTCACTATTAATTTGCTGGTGTGTATATAGTTGAATACTTATTATAGTTATAGTTATAATTCTCAAGATGAAATTGTCTTCTAAAAGGATGTTAATCTGTTAAACATTAAGAATTATTATTATTATTATTCGACTCAATTAAAAATCAGGTATTGAATTTCAAGAAAAAATGAAACACAGGAATTTAATTTTGAAATGAACAGGCCAATTTCTTAATTTGTCGCAATTACATTTTTGTCAGTAAAGAAAATAAATATGGTGCATCTAAATGAAACTCAGAGATTTAAATTTTTATTGGATATTGAGACAAAACGAGAAATCAAGAAGTTTGTAATGTTTTTATCCCAAAATATCCAGAAAGACTCATTACAGTAGATAAATGGCCAGGCCGTCAAAAAACTCATGATTAAACATTTTATTAGACGTTGAAATAGCTTTGAATAATGTTGTGAGCTAACGAACAGAAGAAAAAATCATTCGTACAAGATTACAGTACTACCGGAGCAGAACGATGCTGATCTCGACCGCAGACTACAATTTTGCGATGAAGCCACGATATGTATCAATAAACAAAATGGTAGGTATTGAAGTACAAAGAATCCTCCATGGGATAACGAAATTGTTTTACTGGAGCCCGATATTTACAATTTTTTCTAAATGACTTAATTCTTACTCAGCAGATAGATATGGATAGATTTGGTTTCAACAGGATGGTGTTTCGTCCTATTTTGCTCGACAAGTGAGTGAATATTTAAATATGGTATTTCTCGGACAGAGGTTTGGTTGAATGGGATCAATAAAATGCCCCGCAAGATTTCCAGATATTACTTCAATGGTTTTTTCCTCTGGGGATATTTAAAATCAAAAGTGAATAACGAAAACCCAGATAATTTAGGTGATTCAAAATTAAGAATTAGAAAAGAAATAAGGCAAGGTTTCTTTTTTGACTGACCCTATATATTTTTTACTAAATTATGCACCCAAGAAATAAAAACTTTACAAAGGTAATTAACAACCACTGCCAGAAAAAATAAGTACCCTCCAGGAGCTTCATATACTAAGATCGGATGTTGAAAGTGAAATATAAAACTTCTCCGAAACAGAAAAACACCAGGGGCGAATCAAATAACGGCAGGGGCCTGAAAGGCTCTGGAAAAGAAGGAAAAAGAAATATTTCATAAAATCTGTAACCTTATAGAGAAAACAGGACAGTGGTCGGAAAACCGGGTGGAGTCGCTCTTTATTCCAATTTTCAAACAAAGTTCGAGCTTGGAGTGCAATCTCCAGACCGGTTTCTTTTATATCGCACGCCAGCTAGATCGGCAGACGGTTTTCAGACGAGAAAGCAGGTTTTGTACCAGGAAAAGCAACTAGGAAACAAATATTAAATACCAGGCAGCTTATTGAAAATGCTAGAGGATTTAATATTCCACTGTATCTCTGCTTTATACACTATCAAACAAAAAAAAAACCTATTTCAACTGATGTGTAACCTCTGTCAGAAAAAGAATTAAGAATCTGTACTACGCCGATGACATACTGATCATAGCGTCAACCATAAAGAATTTTAACTATCTTGGCTATTTAATTACCAACACTGGGAAATGTAGGACACCAAGCTAAGCACAATATGGAAAGACAAATCTATCATGAAAACAATACCCGGGATATTTAGTTAGAAGATCAGGAATGGCTGATCATAGAAGGGAAATTAGAAGGCAAACGCCCAAGAGGCGGATCTCCAACTAGATGGGTAGACCAAACAACACCCTTAATAAATGTTAGACTGCATGATGCTGAAAGGATTGCAGGAGATAGGCAAACATGGAATCAACTGCTGAATCAAAAATAAATGGTGCTACTACATCCTTACTATATATTGTCTATTGACTTCAAAAAAGAGATTGAAACGAAGTTATGACCTTATAAACGCTTATACGCTAAATCTGAATATGGCGGTCGTTCAACTGAGGTATTAGGTTTTAGGTAATATTAAAAATATAAAATCTAACCTAACTTCATGGTTAATAGCAGGTACCTACAGGTATTTCAAATATCACAAAGAAAATCACAATTTCGTTAAACTAAAAATAAGAATACATATAAATAAATTAAATATAGTTTAAAATATTTATAACCATACTTGCGAATTTTTTAAAAAGTATTTTCAAACAATCGTTCTTAAGACAAAGTATTATTTCGCATTCCTAGTATCATGTTGATGCATCTATTTCCATTTTTTGCATTTATGAATAATACTTTTAAGATCAAGAATATCATTTACGTATGGTTTAGTTAACGAACACTTGATTTCTGTTATTTATTCGTTATAAATTTTTATTAATTCTGAAACGTTGTAATATACCTAACTGAAATTTAGGCCTGTACGCATCATAATGGGGTGTTTTTTCTAAAGCAAATCTTGTAAGTTGTTTTTTTTTTCATTCCATTCCATTTTATGTGTCGAGCGCGTTGGTTAATTGTAAGTATAATATTAATTTTGCTTAGAAATATGATACATATACAGTCGGTTAAAGAAGTCTCCGTACATATAGTATTTTTTCAGTTTTCTTATAGTTTCTTCTTTCAATTACTTATTTAATGAGAAATATATTTTAAGTAAATATCGGCAATCTCATTAAGAGTAATAAAAATTAAATAAAAATCATTTGGGACACTTTATTTGAACGATAAAAAATAAGGCAGTTTTAAAAGCAAGCAAGTATGTCAAATAAGTACACTTTAATAAATCACTATTAAGAACTGAAGGTAGAACCGTTAATTATCAATATTTTATCAAGTCAGCTTATATCAAATTTCGCTTAAACAAATGAGTTATACTTGATTATTTTTGACGCCACTTTTAAGTCAGTGGTTTTGAAGTAAAAGCAAAATGGAGAGTAAAGTAAAGTAAGGTAAAATAATTAAAAAATCACATTCAACTGTACAGTATGTAGTAGATCAATACAAATCCACCGGATCTTATAAAGTGCGGCCAAGTTCTGGTCGTCCCAGGAAGTTACCTGCACGAGAAGAGTCTTCTGTTGTGAAAAAAATTAGAATTAGTTCTGAAACAAGCGCTCCAAAACTTGCAGAGGAAATCAGGGAAGAATTCTCAAAAAATGTTAGCCCTCAAACGATTAGAAACTGCTTGCATCGAGCAGGTTATAACGGCCCCGTTGCCAGAAGGAAAACATTAATTTCGGAAAAAAATTGAAAAAAACCTTTGTAATTTGCCCGAGAACGCATTAACAAAACCAGGGAGTTTAGTGACGAAACAAAAATTAATCTTTTTGTGTCAGATGGTCTGGATAAAATATGGAGGAAAAAAAGACAGCTCTGAAAATCGAAAATGTCTGTCCTGCGGTGAAGCATGGTGGAGGTAGGGTGCATGTCAGCTAGTGGGACAGGCAGCTTAGCTCTTATTGACGAAATCATGGACCAACATGGCTATTTGAATATCCTAAAGAATAATTTAAACCAAAGTGTTGAAAAACTTAACCTTGAGGGGCGTTATTTTTTCCAACAGGATAACGATCCTAAACACACTGCTACGCTTGTACGTCACTAGATGATGCATAATGTCCGCCAACAACTTCATTTGCCACCACAATATATGGATGTTAACCCCATAGAGCACCTGTGGGAATAATTAAAGCGACGAGTCAAAAAAACATCAAGTTTGGGGTAAAGAAGACTTCAAAAATAGAATAAGAAAAGAGTTTGAAAACATATCGCCAGAAGTTACAAGAAAGTTTGTTTTAAGTCTTCCAAAAAGACTTAATGCCATTATTAAAGCAAAATATTAGACTTTAAGAAACTTTTCAAATTTATCATAAGAAATAATTGTGTACGGAGACTTATTTGACATAGTTTCTTGATTCTAAAACTGCCTTATTTTTTATCGTTCAAATAAATTGTCCCAAATGTTTTTTGTTTTATTTTTATTATTCTGAATGAGATTCACGATATTTAGTTGAAATATATTTCTGATTAAATATAAGTGAAAGAAGAAACTAAAAGAAAACTGTGTACGGAGACTTATTTGAGCAACTGAAAGAGATAGCATTTTATTTTTCCATGTATCCCATATTTTATATTTTTCAATCCATTGCTCGTAATATAGTAATAATAATTGAACCTTAATACAGTTAAATACAAATAAATGCGTTCCTGAAAATTTCGTAAAGCATCAAATTAATTATTTAATACAGGGATTTCGTCAAATATTTGCTAGATGAACTTTAAACGAATTTCATTGGCACTGCTTTAGACATTTTAGTCTATTGTTTGCTAGCGGCCCACAATATACAGTTTTTTTTGTGAAAATTATTTTTATACTTTCGTTAGTGTACGACTCAGAATCAAAGTCAGATAACCCGTGTAAAATTTTGAAATAGCTAGCACACCTGTTTTCCACAAAAGAAATCCCAAGTTAGCGGAAGAGATAGGGTTAGGAAAATCTTAACAAAAGTTACTCAAAATTTTTTTCCAGTTGAATTCGCAACGCTGCAGGTGCGTAAATATTTGAAAAAACTTACTCACTTCTTCAGAACTTCAAATTTTACGCTCAAAATTGAGTCCCTTTTCGTGGAATGAGAATCACTTGGTATCACAATACGACTTACCTCGGCACTAGCTAGAACCGACCAATCGACGTCGCGGAAAAACGCACCAAGCACCTTGACCTCGGCCTCGAAAAGGATCGATTTCGTGGTAATGGCGACGTAACACGCCAGCGTCGGAAGGGACAGTACCAGGAGAGATTTGATGTAACTTTTTGTCCTGGTTATTGAACTGAAACGTTTTCCGCATATTAAGTAACCTGGGAATATTTTAAGTGAGACGCTTACAGCAATGTGATGATGATCCAGATAAACAGAAGTACCGCTGCGTATACTCCAAAATACTGTGGGTCTGCCAGTGGTGTTTTTAAGAATGTGGTCCTGAAATTAAGTGTTTGTTATTGTTAATTCAATACCCGCAGCAGAAATTTACGTTAGCTGTCGCGCAATTCTTTTTTAACGAATAACAAAAAAATACAAAAAATAGGTTTTTGGTAAGGATAACAAATTAACGAACTGATAATCTATATCTCGGTTATTATATATTGGGGCTAGAAGCCGGTTTTCGCAATCTTGTCGTGATTTTAAAATATCTGGAAACCGCTGGTCGATGTTCATATAATTTAAATATTTGTATGTAAACATTGTTGATTCTTTCGGGTTTACATACATTTACATAATTGGCAACCCTATTGTTACTTTCAGAGTAAATTGAATTAAAACTGATAGATTTGATGCTCCTCCAATAGCAGAATGAAAATTGAAAGTATTTTTTTTTTAATTTTTGACCAGTATTCCATGTGAGGTTTTCCATAACGATTGATAAAATACACTTAAAACAACCACAAAAAAACATATACTATGTACTTATGGAAAATTAAGGTTATTGAAAATACAAAAACACCGTTTATATAATTTTTTGCGAATTGATTACAAATTTTGAATACGAACCTTAGTTTTTGAGTTACTAGGGCAAATTGAAAAATTTGCGATTTTAAATATATAAATAAAAATAAATATAAGTAGCTGTATAAAATTTGAATTCCAATTTTTTATTCTCAAGACGTCATCAGTCTCAAAATCTTAAATACGAACCTGATATTTGTCGCATAATTGATATTCGCTTTAGATGCGTTTTATAATGTTTAAATTGCAATATTATTTCCGGCAAATATTGTTTAGATTGTTAGTAATACGACCCTGGGGGGTTATTTTCTATAATTTTACGTTTCTTGATCTTGTGACAAAATGAAATTGTTTAGTTTCAGTAATTTATTTATTATTAAGTTACTATATTTTTAAAAGTGAAAATAATAATTTCGTCAGGCCGAAAATTTACAACATTAAAAAAATTATTATAATTATTAAAAAGAAAAACACCTTATATTCTGATAAAAAGTTTCAATGAAAAAGTATTTACAAAATCAAAACATCTTTTATATTAAGCAGGAAGATCTAGCAAAGTTTTAAAATTGCACATTTTTGTAGCTCCATACTACAAGCGCTATTAAAAATTTGATAATAGCATTTTTGGAATAAGCTAGTAATATATAAACAGCATTTTTGCATCTTGAATTGTAATGGAGTATCCCAGTATCGAAAATGATAGATTATATGATAAATACTATAAACAATATGAAGACCGGCTATGCTATAGCACCTACCTTAGGCATTCACTTCCGATTTTTCCAACAACGTAGTAGCCTTCCTAAAATATCAATTGTTTGTAAGTACATCGACAAAGACCAAACAATATGTTTACCTCTTTTATGATAACTCCGTCTGAACAATCGGAGAAAGGCATGGAACCTTTTATGATCCATATGATGAACAATAAAGATAGTCCCATATAGAGTGGATAGTAGATGCTTAGAAGACATCCAGCGAGTAACTTTACGTATCCTATACCTAAAGGAACATTTAAGATTTCGAGTTGAGCAACAATTTGGTTAGTCACATTTCAATAAATAATATATATTGTAAAGGGATAAGTTCAAAATCCACACAGCGCATAATGCATATGCATATAATAATAATAATAATAATAACTAGATGCCTAGTCCTTTAATTTTCCTGGAATATCCATCAAATTATTATTACTATTATTATTATACATACATTCTCTTTTCGCATGTATCTCCTAGCGACAGGAAGCGTTTATTCATCGGTTATTATTACAATATTTCAGTATCACAATTACAATGACTGTTTGACCTAGACCTAGGTTTAAAAAACCTGTATGCGTTAAAACCCAACATTAATTAATTTATCAATTCAAAAAGCTACAACAATTCAATCTTAGTTTAAATCAGAAAAGTTAAATTAACTAAACAATTAAGATTAAGCATACCAGACAAACCTGCAAGAGTTTTCTAGAATATAGATTTTGACCTCGCCAGACAAAATGTTAATTTTTTTAATTTTCTTAAAACATACAGGAAACAGATTATAAAATATTAGCCCTAAATAAATTATTATCTACTGATTAATAGCTCGTTTGCTTGCACGAACGATAACATTTCTGTGAATATTAGCTCTATTTTCGTAATTATGGTTGATTAGTGCCTGCCTCGAAGAATGTTTATGAAAGTATGTACTCAAGATAAGCAATGCATTAACATTGCAAATATCTCTACCATAAAGTAACGGAGTAGTGTTAAAATACAATCTCATAAAAATAATTTTAACTGTAGTATTACTTTTAGAGGAACAGTTTTTTGGAAAAAATTCTAGTAACATAAAATTTATACAATAAAGATCTGTTTTTTTTGTTAAGTACACATGACTATCCATCCCATTTTAGGTTTTTATCAACCATCACTCCCAAGAAGTTTATAACATCAATTTCCTTAATTGGTTCTACTAAAGTGTCAATATATATTTGTGAAGAGGGACGATTTTTCCCTGTTATACAAAAGACTATATATTAAGGATTAGTTTAAAAGTGTCCAAAAATATTTTTAGTATTTTTAAACCATTCTTCTTTTTCACTTTCACACCAAAAAGAAGAAGAAGCACCAAAAACTCTGGTCCGCATAGGAAACAACCCTGCCTCCCACATCTAACTTGCCAAATGGTTAGTAATTTCGTTAGTAAGCTTGGATCTCTATGGTGAAACCAAATTGATGACTGCTTAATAGAGCAAAAGCAAAGAGATGGTTAGACATTTTTCTAATATTTTGCTTAAATTCGATATTGCACTAATTGGATTCTAATTACCCGGATCCGATCTACATCCTGCTTTATATGTAGGTGATACTATGGACGTTGTAAACTGATAAACTGATAAATGTTAAAATTTTATAATTTTTGAAGTAATTTTATGGTTTCCTGGAGTACAATGGTTTTTTAAATGATTTGTATATTCTATTTTCTGATTTCCAGTGACTGGAGTTAACGTTCATCGTACACTTTTTTGTTTTATTTTCACAGGAGAAATGGACAACTCTATTTCAGCAGCCATTTTTCTTCCTATAGTTACAAAATATTCATCCCTTCTTTTTCATCAGTTGTTAAAATATAGTCATCTGTTTTTTAGGATAGGAAGGCATTTTCGAAATTATACAATTAAAAAAGAAACTAATCGACCTAAAAAAAGTAAGAAATGCCAAAAATAAATTGTTGTACCGAATTGTAATTAATTATCCCGGAGAACATGTAAGAGTAGTTTCTATCTTACGAAACACACCATTTAAATATACACCTGACATTCAATAATATCCTGTTCAAAGAAGTCCGATTTGTATGTTGGTTCAGCAAGTCAATCTTTTGTTATATATTTTTCAAATATAACGCATATATCAATAATTAGGTTGTTTTCGTGTGCTTGGGAGCTGATATTCAATAAAAAGTGAGTTTTCGCCTGTAATTTGATATGAGGCAGTAAATCTTCTATAAAATTATGAATCAGAGTAATTTGCTAAGAATAAACGTTTTGGAAAGTTGGGTTAGATTGCTTTTTATGTTTATTTTTGCCATAAAAATCGTTGGTAGGAATTAGAAACTCATACAATTATTCTTCTTTCCAGAGATAAGATAAATAACAATAATCAGTATGAAAAATAACGCAGCTGAAAAATGATTTTTTCCTTTAAATTTCGTCAAAATTTCAGTGAAAACGTCAAAACTAGCTCCAACAAAATTTTCTCCTGTCGCTGTACTTACACCTTCTTCATCCACAGTAGCTTAGGGTTGATCCCACAATAAACGCAGAAATAGATTGAGAATTGAACGTGAAAATTATCATACGTCCATCATTATAGTTTGAAAAACCCTTTGGGGCCTTCAGTTAATGAATTTAGTTCTCCAGTGCAAGAGGATTCCAAAGAAAATTCTGGTGAATGCCAAAACATTAAGGAAATATCTGATAGTGAGAATGATTAAGATTGTGATAATGCTATTTGATGAAATTAGTTATATTAGATATCTATTAGGAAATGTTTTCATTTATTTATTTTTTATTTTTCAGAAATACTTATTTTTTTCAGAAACTAAAAGTTTAAGATTATTATGTTCCTGTTCCTGACAGTATTAAGATAAGAGTTTATTGTGCTGTGATTTGATTTAAATCTTTTATCATAAAATATGAGTAAATGTTGTTATAAATAAAAAATGTTTTATTTTACAAAGAAATAGGTAAATGAAGGTCATATGACATGAAAGTTAACATAATTAGAAATATTGGACAGTCTTAGAAAAGTTTTTATTTAATAGCTGTGGATTCAAAAGGCCACGTGATCTTCAAAGCGTAGATTTCTATCAAGAAATACACCTAAATTTTGACAGCCAGGAACAGGCTGTGAAGTTACGTGATTTAAATAAATTTTAGCATTATTTTGGCCAATTATTGTAGCTCTATCTTTGCCGAAAATTAAAAGTTGTGTCTTATTGAATGAAGAGGCTATCCTTACTGAAAATATCACTGAGAACCCTCAGGTAACGGTTTATCTTATAAATGGCTGTAGTAATTTCAGAATAATTGAAAGAGTGGTATATTTGTGTATCGTCAGCATACTGATGAGAAGAACAATGTTTAATCAATTTATCGAAGTGTCACTTCTTTGAAAATATGGACATAACTCTTTGATACCGATTAGAGAAGCAACTTTTTTTTGAGGTTTAAGGTCTAGTCATGGCTTATGGATAACGCTTCCTACGCATACAAAAATGAGTATGACAAAATAAAATTGAGAAAGTAGCCGCCAAGTAAAGCGAGAACAACTAAGATTTCAATACAGTACATGTTCGTTCATTAGTAGATCAAGCATTTCAACAAGATACTGAACAAAACTGGAGTAATTGTGTTCAACAAATCGTAGAAAAAACCCAAGAGGAAATGTGGTCCGCTGATAATTTTTAAGACAACGTGGATGAACTTATTATTAGTTTAAATTCCGGCGACAGTTTTTATCTCGGACACAGTAGCTACACGAGAGTGCGATATCTAACACATATCACTTCCACACTGAAGCGCTTTGCATATTTCTAGACCTATATTTTACGCTGTTACCTTTAAAAAATGGCACCGCTCTCCAAGATTTGATGAAACCCTCCTGAGCCATTTGACCTATACCGAGTTCTAGGAATAGAAGCGGAAGGCCAATAATCACAGTCAAAATTACGTAGACCACGAGGAATGGGAGTCCGCCTCTGATCAGGGTGGCCTGGGGCAGCCTGTAGAGGTTGCCGATTCCAGCCGCCATCGAAAGGGTACATACTATCGTCGATATATGGTTGCACCATGATTGACAGGACTGAAACACACGAGATACAAACAAATATTAAATCCCAAAGGTTTAGACAATCATAATCATCGACTTTTAAAGCCACAATAACATATGCGCCTGCGCGATCATTTCAAATCTCGCGTTCAACCAATAAAACTTTGCCGTCTTTCACAACTACCTGACACTGGGTCTATTGTTCAGGGAAAACAGGTTAAGTGTGTGCTGTTTAGTATGAAATGGCGTGTAATTGTTTAAAATTTAAGGTCATTCGCGAAAGAGCCATCCCTTTTTTAGAATCTTTATGGTTACTAACTGTAATCCAATAGACAGTTCGTTTACATGTGAATCTATAGAGTCCGATTTATTAAAACAGCGTACAAGCTGGGGTAAATTTAATTCTTTCAAAAGGAAATTCCAATTTTTTAAACGTAATGCTCGCGTTTCTATGAAAATATTTCCGAAGTCCCTTTTTATGTCGAATGTATAAGCATGGCATTTTTAAAACTAATTGTTTAATGGTTACTAAAAATAATATTGATTTAAACGTTTAAAAAACACTGAAAATTGCCGGTTAATGTTTTAGTCAAATCTTCTGCGGAAAAATTAAGGTTTTGAAATTGGAAGACTGAAAACAAGTGCCAGATTTGTGATTTTGACTTTAGCTATTAATAGTATTCTGGTGTTTGTCATTTCTGATGCTCACATCTGACGTTATTCAGTAAATTTAATTTTTTTTTTGAAAAAATGTACCCAAAAACTAATAGTGGAGCAAAAAGTTTCGTAGGCTACAAGTTATGTGATACAAAATGCAGAAATTCATTCTTTCGTATTCGTATTCTTTTGTATTAGCTTAATCAAGAGCTCGTAGTTCTGTTCGCAAAAAAAACACATGAAAAGTATTTAGAAAAGAGATCCGTTGTTTGAAAATCTGAATTCATACGTTGATATAAACAAAAATTAAAAAATCAAACAAACCAAATAAACGAAAGGTCTTTGATACAAATTGAAAGAATGCCATTTCTAAAAGTTGAAGAATTAAAGAATTCTTGCAAGGAAAGCTCTTGTACACGTTTACCACGAATTCAAAACTTTTGGTCTGGTAATATGTTATGGTTTTTCATTTGAAATTAATGGAGATATTAAGCGGAAGCTTCCAAAGTTCTGGGAATTTATAATTTTCATTGTTTTATTCTAATTGTCAATTTTTTTCTCTTTTGTATAAAAATGGAGCATTTACCTACTTTACTGATACGTCCAATAAAAATGGACAAAAAGATTCAAGTTCTAAAATACTAGCAGGTAAAATAGATAAACTGCTATGAGAATGAGGTTGGTTTCCACTTGGAACTAAATGTTTTTGTTTCCAGTTTTTTTTGTTTATTATTCAATTCTTATTTGCTTTTGTACGTTATTTTCGTCAATATTGCAATGTGGATTATCAACATAACCTCAATTTAACTAAATACATTGATCCCAATGATAAGGTAATTTCTTTCAGTTGTTCTCAAAAGAACTTTTTCTGTGTTTTTTTTATCTACCTATCGCTTAAACTTTCAAATCTAACATCCCGTATCTTTCGTCGGATAATCCATAAAAATAATCCTTTCCTAATCCCAAAATACAATAAGTATGACCTTTCCAACATATAGAATTGCACGTGCCTTAAGTAGAGGTCATTCTTCAGGTTCGTGCCATTCGTTGGATTTACGGTTCATCTCAGGAATGAAATGAGCAATATAAGTTTTGTCAGTAGTTATAATTCGTTGACAAAAATTAGGTTGAGTTTCTGTTTTGGTCTCAAAAGTTTTGACACTCAATCAAACATTCATGGAATATGTCATGAACTTCCTCTTTCCTCCTCTGTCCTCTTTCAGTAGGTCTTCTACGGCACTGTGTGGATCGCCTTCTATTGTTGTTCTACGGGTTCTACAAGAATCATTTAATAATTTTTTCATCGACAGTGTTTCTCTAAAGTGCACCATGAAGCAACGGTATTATCAATGAATGCTATGGATAACAGACAATTTAAACAATTTAAGAATAAATTTTCTTTTATGAAGTGACTGGACAGTGGAGAAGGTCGTTAGGCAGATAAAAACTAATGTAAAAGGTGCCGACGGATATGATATTAAACTGGTGTCTCTCATTCTTCCCCACCTCACACCTCATATGAATTTTCTTAATAATGTATTGTTTACTTCAAAATTTCCTTCCTCGTTGTGCCAGTAGCTAAGGTACCCTTTCCATACATTCTCTCTCACTTTCGGCGAATTAGGATATCGCGTTCTTTGTCCAAAGTATTAGAGACGATCATATATGAACAACTAAATAAGTATTTGCTAATAAATGATATTTTACCCCCCACTCAATCAGGTTTCGATACGCTAGAACCGCTAGATCACAGTGTACTTCTCAAAACGCTTGAGTATTTTGGACTAAGCCATTCAGTTGTGCATTTCTTTAAGGGTTGTTTGGAAGGCCGATGCCAGACAGCAGTGCTGGGTGGTAATGTTTCTAGTTTTGTTGCTACTAAGAAGCACGACGGGGAAGTGTGTTGGGACCGTTATTGCTATCACCTCAAATATAGCATGTCTCATCAATATGATGACATGCAGATTTATTATCCATTTTTTAAATATAACGTAGATGATCTAAGTTATTATATAAATACAGACTTAAATATAGTATCTGGGCTGTCTTCGGCTCACTGTCTGCTTCTTAATAGTGGTAAGGCTAAGCTACTCCTTTTTTGCCCTAATAGAGAGAGTGCCTGCGATAATTATAATTTTAATAAAATTTTAAATAATGATAAGTTAGTGACGGATTTTAATTTAAGTTATGAAGACCATGTGGCAACATTAATAAAAAAAAGCATTTTTTAAAATGTTTAAAGAAATTGACATTCTCAAGACGAACATTCGACTAAAACTGGTGATAATATAATATGGGTAGAGAGGCACTGTTTATTGGCCGTATCTTACTTTAAAAAATAATGGATGTCTGCAAAAAATTCAAAATTCTAGTTTACGTTATTGCTATAACCTCAGCAAATATGATTAATGACTATCCGAAACAGTCTAAGTGATTGAATATCAAGTTGAAAAGTATTACTTGCACCTTGCCACTCTAGTACATAAAATTGAAAACGCTACAGAGCCCTCTTATTTATTTAACAAAGCGTGTTACACAGCACCATATTACCAAACAGAATACTGCCAGAGGTCCTTCGCTTACAACGCTACTAAAGTTAATGATGTCCCTGCTACCTGAGGTCTTTCCACCTGCTAAGTCGTGGATAAAAAAGTTATTTATAAATAATCAAGTAACTTTTAAAAAAATTATAATTATTATGTTTTCTTAATGCTGGCTACATGAGCTGTTGAGCTGGATCCTGCCACTAAGGTCTTTATTTATGCATACAGTACCGATAAAAACATTCTGAATTGAATTGAATAAACAGTACTTTTCGATTCTGCGTGCTCACCAAATACTCTTTGAAGACGCTGAATAATTTCTGAAAAACAATGCTATATTAGGTGGACTGAACAATAACATTGCCTACAAGTCTTGGGTATTTCATTCTCAAAATTTCCGCCACAACCCCCGTAAAAGAATCCATTGATTGCATGTTCCTGTCTGATGATGAATCATTCTTCGTCGCATTATTACATAATATATGTGCACGTAAATATTGAAATCGCGCGTGTTTGTAACACCAACTTACGGAGTTTCCATTTCTTCGAGTACTGAATAATATCGATGCGGCCAGAAAAGAAAGAGAAAATCGATGCTCGCGAGCATATATTAATTACGCGGCGGAATCTTTCGGATAATTAGACCAATTATACGAGGAGAAAATTTAAAGCGCTAACGGAGGTTATTTTCCTCCAAACTAACCTGATTTATTCGGTGAAACCAGCATTTGGCGATTATAACGTTATAAGCGACGGACTTGGAAGTCATGCGTTTACGGTAAAACTCACTGTAGACCGCCATAATCGTGCCTCACATAGACTTAAGCAAATCGGGTACTAAAAAAAAGCACGGCATTCGTCAAGGTTGTTCGATAATCACGACATATTTTTGTACAAATGGAAGGTGATAAAATTTAATGTTGTTGCGGCCCGTATCAGTTTCCTGTTGGTCTGAGGTGGACCGAAAGCGATATCATATTCGAGACGACCACGATGGGAAAGCTCCCGAACAATAAATAAGCAAATAAATAACTTTAAGCCGCTGAACAGCTCCGTTTTTATCGGATACTGAATTATTGAGTGGTTATTCACTTGGGTGCTTTAGTGTTCAAATATAATTTCTTAGGAATTGCAAGGTATTTTGGAATATTTCTAAGAATTTCGGAGTATTGCGGTAATTTGGACCACTCAGCGTTTCTGTACAACGCACCAAAAAGCAATCCTAGATGAAATTCGTGGAAATATTTTCAAATATTCCTTTACTATTAAGATGATATCTAAATAAAACTGGTATGCTAGATTTATGCCGATAAAATATGCATATTTGTATTGTAATATTTTTTTTTTCAGGTCAAATTGCTGCTTCAAAAACAAAACGAACCAAAATAGTATGTAATATGTATAATAGTATATAATAAGTCACTCGTTTATTAAACACTTGCTCCGCTGCGCTCCGCTCGTGTCAACTAAAACTCGTGATTCAAATGCCGTTTAGCGCAATTGTAGCATATTATACTTTTTCTATCGCCGTTTGTTTTGGGGTACATTTTCGCAAAACAACACGAATACATTCACTAACATGACCGTCAGAATTCACAAACATCAAAATTCAAGGCGTGGGAAATATCTCCGTAAACATCCGATTGCTCCCAAACCAGTGCGGTAAAATCCCGGAAATGTCCGAAATGGCTCAGATCCGTGGGAAACGAAACTGAAGTGGTAAAGTGACGCCTTCCGCACGCTAGATCGGTGTGTAATTAGGCATTTTACAGATGGGAGCAGAAATAAGATCTAGCATGTGGGAAGCCTCACTTTACCAAACTAATTTAAAAC